GAAGTCCCTTGGAGCCGACTCAACAGCATTTGTGGAGGTGCCCATGGACGTGGTCATGCACTATTACCACAGAGCGAAGCGACAATCCAGCATCTTGCCTCTCTCCCAGCGACTCGCGTGGCTTGAAGCGAGGGACCTGGAAGACCGCTCAGACTGGGTGGCGCGATTCAGGGAGTCCTCCAAGTCCTTGGGGGAGGTTATCAAGGAAACATGCCAGGCGCGTGATGCCCATTGGATGCCGCAGGCTGTCTCTGGAGGAACCAGGGCAGAAGCGAGCAAGACAACTCCAACGCCCTCATCCACGACCCCGATGCCCTCTCAGTTCACTCTGGGGAAGGCAGTGAACGGGAAGAAGGTCGCCAAGACCATGAGGGATGGCACGAAGATCTGCCAGGCTTTCCAACATGGGCAGTGCAAGAATCCCAAAGGCTCCTGTCCTCAAGGACAGCACAAGTGTGGTGCGGTTGTCCGGGGGGAGCGAGTCTGTGGTATGCCGGGGCATGGTGCTGGCCAGTGCAGGGCCAAGGTATCGCCATGACGGTGCCCAGCAGAGGAGGCGGGGACTTCTGCCGGGCAGGAAGAGGCAACACCCGTAGACAGAGTTGACTGTCAGCTGCCGCGGATGGCAGATCTTTATGCGGGGCCCAACGTACCCCTGTCAAAAGCGTTCATCTTCTGTGGTTGGGAGACTATCTCAGTGGACTGGATGCTTGACCGGGGTCACGACCTATCCAACAGCCTGAGGCAGCAATCACTGCATGATCAGTTACAATCGGTTTGTTTCATTGCAGCCGCCCTGGATTGTTCTACAAAGAGCCGGGCCAGAGAGATCCCCCGAGATTTTGGAGATGGTAGGCCACCACCCCGACCGTTGCGATCGGAACAACACCCGCTGGGGCTTCCTGAGTTGACAGGGTCTCAGTACAGCAGGGTGGAGAAGGACAACGCAGCTGCCAGCTTTGTGCTCTCTGAGATTGACCAGTTGGTAGATCGGGGGGGTGGCTCTGTCCGGGAGAACCCATACAACAGCCTTCATTGGTGGACGCCGGATGAAGTTAGCATGTGGGATAGTGGTCGGTGGTCAGACCAGCGGTACTCAGCATGTTGCTTTGGAGGTGCCAGGGCGAAGTTGCAACGCCTTAGGCACAACATTGCAGAAATCGCACAATGGCCAAGGGCTGACTGCAACCACTTTCATGACCCACAGGAATGGGAGCCATGGATCCAAGACGGCCAACGGCACTACCCATCCGCTGAGGAGTCCGAGTACACAGCAGAACTTTGCTTTGCGATCGCCACAGCGGCCTCATGGTGGGCGGTGCGTGTTGGTCATGCCAAATTGTATGTGCCGCGTTCGCCATCCCCTAGCTGTACCGGTCACAGGGATCATTGGCTTGACTTGGACCCCAGGTCTCTCCGAGAATGGGCTATGACTCCTTTGGCAATCAGTCTGGGGTTGAGGCCGGTGGACACGGCGGAAGCGGCTCGTGTGCCAACCCGGGCTTGTGTCGAGGAGGTGCTGCAGCAGGGCGAGTTGCCCCTGGGGCACGTCTATGTGGGTATGGGAAACCACGCTCACCGGCTCCAGACAACGAAGTGGAAATCTCCTTGGCAAGTTGGGGTGAATTGCACACCACAAGATTGGCTTCCCCTCTTTGTTCAGTATGTCAGAGAGACGTTATGGCAGGAGCTGGACGAGCTGGAAGGCAAGGTTTTGGTGTGTGATTGCCCAGCAGCACAGACCTGCGAGGCTGACCTCTTGGCAGGGCTTGTGTTTGACCGGCTCAGCTTACATCGCCATCCAGTAGCTCCCCAAGTTGTCCAAGGATCGAATGGCAGGAGCCACAAGGCAGTGACACGCAGTGTCCTCCTGTCGAGCATTGCCAAAGCGACGGGCACCCCTTTTGGGCCTTTCTACATCCTGCAGGAGTCACTGGCGCTGGCGTTCAAGAAGCTCTACCCAGGTGACTGGTTGGAAGGGCTTGCCATCCCATTCGTCGAGGATTTGGTGAACCAGCACCCGCTTGACCTGTATACTCGTTGGAGGCACCAACAGGGGCTTGACATGGAAGGCAGCTGGAACCCAGTTTTGGCAGCTCCTTCCGTGCGGCAGAAGATGCGGACAGCTGAGGGCCAGCAGGTGGGGGCCATCAACCACAGGGCTGCGCTGGCACCCCTCTTGCCGTTCCATCTTCACCCGGACCAGCATTTTGAGCAAGCTTTGCAACTGAGTGTACAACCTTTGCCTACAGAAGGGCTTCCGGTGTTGGATGATGACCTTCGCTTTGCGGCTTCCTTCTCAAGCATGCCAGGAGTCGACCTGAGCAAGCTGAGAAAACGTGCTATGGGCCTTTTAGCCGAGATGAAGAGGCGCTGGAGCAAGGTCACGGAACATTTGAGGACCAAACAGACTGAGGCAATTCGGACGGCCACTGCACAAAGAGACATTGGCTTCACAGCCATCCTGTTGCTTTTAGCCAACTGGGGCGATGTGACGCTTCCGGCTGGCCTTTGCATGGGGCTCCCAGCAGTGGGATACGCACCCCCCTATGGCATATTCCCAGAGCAGGAGGCATCCCGCTTGACACGGGAGGATGTCCTTCGTGATTGGAGGACCCACAACCGGTGGATCCTGACTCGTTTGAGGCCTGGCAACGATGATGAATTCATGTTACAACAGAGCCTCAAGGATGCTGAGAAAGGCTTCTGCAGCTTGCCGATGGATGCAGAGGAACTGCACAGTTTGCTGGGTGCAGAGCCTTATCGTTTGATTCCTCGATGTGTGATCACACAATCCTCGGGGAAGCAACGGGTGATTGACGACGCCTATGTAGGCCTACAGTCTGAGCGTTCCAGCGACGCCAACAAGCTCACCCTTTGTTCAGCCCTTCGGCCAGCTCAGCATCTACAATATGCCTGCGCATATGGAGCCCTTCCCATCTGGGACACAGAAGAATGGGAATCGGGCGGTGAGGACTGGCCAGATGCTTACAGATTTTGCCCCATGAGCAAGGACGAGGCTTTATGTTGCATTGTGGCATTTTTCCACCATGAATGGCAGAAGCCTGCCTTTATGATTTACACTGGTTTGCTTTTTGGTCTCCCCTTGGCAGTCACGTCTTTCAATCGCTACAGTAGGCTGGTGGAAGCATTGGCGCGTCGATTCACTTTCTGTTTGACCAGCTTGTATTTCGATGATGCTCATGTGACTGATAGGAAGTCTTGCAAAGGATCCGGTCAACGAGCAATGCAGTTTCTCAACAATCTTTTGGGCACACCCTTCTCAGCAGAGAAGTGCCAGAGGATGCAGCAATCAGGCACTTTCTTGGGGCTCGATCATGACTTCAGTCAGATTCACACCCAAGGCTCCATCCAGTTTTGGGCCCGTGAACGCATCGAACAGAAGCTCCTTCATCTCATGAAGCACGCTGAGGATTCCAGCCGGCTTCAACCAGGAGTTGCAGCCAAGATCTATGGCGTGGCCAACTTCTTCGAATTGGGAGTATGGGGGCGTATTGGGTGCGGAGGTTTAGCCCCAATCAAGCGCCGACAACAGGAGCGTACCTCAGAGTTAACTGAGGAGCTGCGTCGATGCTTTGACTTGTTGCGCGCTGTCATTGCTACCAAACCCTCCAGGACAATCGAGATTTGGCCACATGCGGGGCCACGTTTTCTGGCGGCCTCAGACGCAGCCTTGGAAATCCCAGGCCAAGGGACAGGCGGCTTCTTGGTCGTCTGGCATGATGGCTGCATCCAGCGGCGGGAGGCCTTTGTTTCGATCATCCCCCCAGTGGTGTACAACCTCTGGGAGCCAGGAGACACCAAGATTGCCCAACTGGAGTTGTTGCAGGTCCTCTATGCGCTCTTCACCCGTCCATCGACGTTTCGTGGCCGTAGAGGACTTTGGTTCATTGACAATACAGCGGCGCTGATGGCTCTGATTCGAGGACGTTCAGATAATGCAGATTTAGAACATATGACTCGTCTGATTCATATCACTCTTTTTGCACTCCAAGCCTGGTTCTTTTGGGAGTGGATCCCTAGCAAGGCCAACTGGTCCGACGAGATCAGTCGTGTGGGCCTCCAGGCTACATGGCACAAGCGCCATGGGTTCACCACGCATTTCGCAGTTTTCCCCTTCGAGCTGTGGTCTCTACCACTTCCTGCGTTTCTTCAGGTCGTGGAATTTCTCTAAGTGCTTTGGGAGGAATGAAGTGCATTGGGAAGGATTCACCCTGTGTAGCCTCCTGGGTTGACAGGAGTGCGGAACAGGGAGTATGGATCTAACCAGTGCTGCTGTGTAGGAGGATACCTACACAGCTACCCAAAGCATTAATCCTGCTGGAGGCAGGTTGAGACCATACGAAGCGACAGGAAATAGGAAAAAGGATATGCGAGCGTGAACCTGGTGTGAACGAGTGTGTTTAACATCTATGCTTTACACCTCACATCTAATGTATGTATGCATCGTGTTTGGCAGGCACTGGGTGTGCATTATCATTAGGGTGAGTGTGTAAGTTGATGAATCCATTTTGGCTCAAGTCTGAGCCAAACTGGCTTCATCATTCTTCTTTTCCCTCCCTTCCCTCCCTATGAGATAGGACTCCTGTGGAGTATCCTCTCTTGTAGGGGATCACATCATTGCGGATGTTGATCTCTACGTGCCGTTGCACGACTGAGCACTAGGTGGGAAGGATTCACCCTGTGTAGCCTCCTGGGTTGACAGGAGTGCGGAACAGGGAGTATGGATCTAACCAGTGCTGCTGTGTAGGAGGATACCTACACAGCTACCCAAAGCATTAATCCTGCTGGAGGCAGGTTGAGACCATACGAAGCGACAGGAAATAGGAAAAAAAAGGATATGCGAGCGTGAACCTGGTGTGAACGAGTGTGTTTAACATCTATGCTTTACACCTCACATCTAATGTATTTGCAAAGTCCCAGTTTCAGAAAGGCGCGCTTGCCACCGCTTGCACCACGCGCACTTTCGGAGCCGCTAGGATTCGACTCTACTGTCCTTTGTCTTCCTCGCCATTGACGAGACTCTTGGGTCATGAACATAGATGCAAACAGAATCCTGACACTTGCAGGGGACGTTGGCAGCAAACGGCAGCAATGTTTGTGATGAGTTCAGCGTGAAGTGAGGTGCCCTTTTTGGCAATCCTGCACAGCTGGTAGATCCTCGCATTCTCGCTGGTACTGACGGACGGGAGGCACGCCTACGTCTCCCTCCTTTCTGATCTTACCTGCATAGAATAACATTGTTGCCAGATCGCATGATGGTATGGATGATTATAAAATATTATAAATGTGGATATCGTATATTTAGAGCTGCGAGTCAACATACAGTATTTCAGGGAAATAAAATAAAGCGTGACTGTTTTCTGATTCTTCTCATTTCCGGATTGCTACCATTCGTTGTGCCATCCAAACCTGCTGAATTCCACCAGTGGAAAGAGTGCTTTCTATGATGTACTGTGCTCTACAAGAGGCACAAACGCTTTCTACGCCATTTAAAAACCTCTCCTTACTGTACAAACATATACAAACAACTTCAGTTTGTGGTCAGGGACTTTTCTAATGTCAAGATCTCAAGCATTTTTTGAAGCGATGGAACAATGCCAGGTAATTCGAGTACAATCAGGTGGAAAGGCAGGAAGCACAGTGTGTCACAGTGAGTACCATGGAATTGCAGCTTTTATGAAGCCTTGTCAGCGCACGCTGATCCTTTGCTGCAGGTACGTGTGCATTTCGATGTGATGCTGAAAGACACCAGTTCTTTCAACTATGCATTCTGATAAGGTTTGACAAGCCTAAGCCTTGAGGATTTCATGCCAGTGTTCCGCTCAAGTGCTCCTAGACTTGTTTGTGCTGAATAGCATAGCAAAGAAGTCTGCTTCTAAGCTTTGGTCTTACCAAAGAGGGTATCTAGTGGAAGATTGCTTGGAGAAACAAGGAACAACAGCGTGACATCCAGAAAGAAAGCAGGTCTCAAAGCTAGCCTCAGCAATAAGGCAAAGCGCAACCAGCGTAACGACTGCAAGCAAATTCGCTTGTGTACCATAGCAGCAGGGTCTCACAATAGTTTGATCGTGTGCCTGCTGAAGACTTCAAAGACAGATAAAGATAGTATATTCATTGTATATTCATGTTCCTGCAGACTTCACATTGACTGTACATGAGTCGAGAGAAGGCGACCATTTTTTGGCGGTTCTGTGACATGCACCAATGCACACCTGCCTATATTGCTTCAGGCTCAAATGCCATGAATTCCTTATGCATGCACTGAATCTGAAACGAAGCATCCAAAGAAGGGTTTTTACTTCAGCAGTGGGCATCTAGAATCTTGCATTCTAGTAAAATCCGAAGGTGCACAGCAAAAGTGATACACAATCAGACAAAGCTGCACCTGAAGTCACCACAAAAAACCGTGGTTGAAACTGATAAGCAAAACCACTCCACTGTTTCGGCCTCGCCATGGCTGGCAGCAAGAAGAAGGCCGTTGTGACTCCCAAGAAACCAAAGAAGAAACGAGAACGGAAGCCAGAAGTAGAAACCCCAGTGGAAGAGCAGAAAATTGTGACGGTCATTTTTGATGATCACGAGTATACAGGTTACCTGAGGACGGATAGCCTGTCAAAACGCTGTCTTGATGGTGCAGCGTCCAAGTACATTTGGCAGGATGGGTCTAGATATGAAGGGCCCTTCCTGCAGAGCGAAATCCAAGGTCAAGGAAAATACACTTGGCCGGACGGTTCAACATATGAAGGTGCCTTGCAGAATGGCAAGAGGCACGGTCATGGTGTTTTCGTTGCAGCCGATGGCATCACAAAGTATGAGGGCCAATGGGTTGAAGGAAAGCGTCACGGTAGAGGGCGCTTGATCTTTGATGCTGAGGGGGAATCCTTCTATGACGGGGAATGGTGCAATGGATGCAAGCATGGCAAGGGCCGACAAGTCTGGCCCAGCAAGAACACCTATGAAGGGTCGTGGGAAGAGGGCAGAATGCAAGGTTCTGGCACCATGACCTGGTCTGAGAATGGCATTCTGGAGGTGTACACAGGCGAGTGGGCCAACAATTTGCCTCAGGGTCAGGGAAAGTACACCTGGCATGCCACTGAAGATGGCATGTTTGGGAAGGAAATGCCTGTACAACAGACAAACAACAGTTTCGAAGGGACGTGGTCAAAGGGTTTGAGATCTGGATACGGCACATTTCAATTTGCCAATGGTTCCAAGTATGAAGGTCAATGGGCAAACAACTTGAAGCATGGTGATGGACGCTACACCTATGAGGATGGGCGTATCTATGCTGGAGAGTTCGTTCTAGATAACATGGCGAACAATGATGTTGCACATCAACAAGAATCGACTTCATCTCAGGCACTGAATCTGGGTGGCGCTGACAATCCAGTGCGCAAATGTGTGGAGATTGCCGATTTGGTGGGCTTCTGCTTACCAAATGATAGACTAATCACGGATCCCACAGAAAGGACTGGATTTAGTGAGCCAAATGATGTCTTTCGGGAAATATACAACATCCTTTTGCGGCACCTGGGAGACTTGAAGAAGCTCTACGCGAGCATGCGCAAGATGATCCAGAGAACCACAGATGATCCGTGGCTCGTGTACAAGTTTCACATGTGGATTCTCGCAAGGGAAGCTGGAATCCTTGCACCGGACTGCTCGCTCGCTCGACTGAATCGCCGCATGGTTTGTGGCCCTCGACAACATGGGGAGGCGTTTCCTGAAGACGTTCCGGACTTGCGCCCGCTGACACCCAGGCAGGTCCATGCGACTGGGAAACATGAATGAGAGACGAGCGCATGCCCAGCGCATGTCCCAAGTATGTTCAGACTGTATTCTTGATTTACGAAATGTGTCACAGGCATTCACAGGCTATAGAATTCTGACTGTAGACAGCAGGAAGAATATAGTGGAATGCCTGTGCAATCTTCGCGGGAAGTTTGGCGTCCTTTGTCCTGTTGTCAATTCGATCTCCAGCTCCAAACCAAAGAAAGTGTCCAGTTCTGGAAAGGTACTAGTATGTTTCTGCATAGAGTACGGTTCTCTAGGGGAATTCCTGCAATCTTGAACTGTTCATTGTACACAGTGTTTCATGGAAGAAGTTTCAAGGACCGGTATGATTACATCTTGCAACAAGGCAGAGTTTCCAGTATTTGATTGCCAGTATTTCGGATTTTATCTCCACCAGCAGGTCACTTCAGAACCGAGTACCAGGTGATCCAGAGCCAAAGGTGTAAGATGCTAAGTCTGCTAAGTCGTGTCTCACTTGCGGTCTCGTGTGAGTTAGTGCCATTTTGGTCATGGCAGATAATGTCAAACCATTGTGTGATGCAGCTCGAGTTTTGCTGAGGACAAAACGATCATCGAAACCAGAAGAAGGTGCTGGTCCAGGGACCTCAACATATAGCAACATATTTAACCCGCACAAATCGTGCCAGAAGCGCTGTAGCCTGTCATCATTTACAGCAACAGCTTTTCAGCGATCATGCCTGCTATGCGGATGTGGTCAGTGTACTTGCAGCAGTTGTGGGTCTATGTGGGACTGTTGTCATGAAATGTCATGAAATGTCGAACAAGACCGAAGTGATTCCTAACCGAAGCGCAATAGTTGCAGATTGTTCCACCATCGAAGGTGGAGCAGATTCAGCTGCCGCAGAGCAGGCATGATTTGGGGGCAGCCGTTTTCAAATTAAATGTCAACGGAGGCAGATAGCTCCAAAGACAAGTAATGCAACGCAAACAGACTCATCTAAAGCATTCGAAAGCAGGACTGCAATGTATAGTTGACTTGTTATATGACTTTGTAGTATTGAGCATTGGCATGTCATGCATTACTCGTAGCATGGATCAGCATTTTCATATAATATGTTATTCAATTTTATTCATCTTTCTATATTCTCATTCTAATTTAGATGTCATGAAGAGGCTGTGAAACATTTTTTTGCTTGCGGACTCATGGTACAGATAGATCGCAAATACAACAGGCGTCCAAGCAGGGTTGCCTGTCAGGTGCTCTCTCACACATCAGGAAGGTACAGGAAAAGACGTGTATGTTTCGACATGTTTAGACATCTTTAGGCCACACACGTAATATGATCTGTGTGGGAAGAGTATCAAGCCAAAGCTCCTTGCAAGGATTTTGGATTGTGATAATACTCACGAACGTTGTTTCCTGAGTTCGTGAAAGTAACATGTTTATCCGAGAAATATTGCAAACGTTAGATGTTCTGAACTCATGAATCATCAGTATATACATCGAAGGACCGGGCGAATGTGAAGATGCATTTTGAATCATTTTGAAGGGTATGGCCCAGCAAGCCTTACAAATTCCGCACGAGCCCGATGGATTCTTTGATGCTACGGGTACCTGCATGTCCAAAGGCTATCAGCAGGTAATCTCTTCATATCTCTTAGTCTATGACAATCTGCCAGGTAATCGAGTCTGGGTCTTGCGATCGCTTGTAGTGCGACTTGGGTTCGCCAGAGTTGATTCCAGGAAGCAGTTGATGAAGAAGAAGAAGACGATTATGGTGATGAGGAGGCATATATAGTTTTGAAATCTTCCTGCCGGTTTCAATGCCTTTACTCAATTCATTTGATTCATTGCAGGGACAACCCCTCTCAATCAATGCGGCTCACTTCAGGAAGATGAGGAGGATGGTGAGGATGCGGAGGATGCAGCAGATGGAGACGAGCAAGATGGCCAGAACAGCTCCCGAACCACGAAGAGTGGGAGGAGCCGGCAGAGCCGTGCAAGCAGAGTGAGCAGGGCAAGCAGGAGGAGTGGAGGCCAAATCCAACTGTGCTTCAATGCGCTTCAAGTGATCATACCACTTTCACACTTCCGTGGAAGCGGAGTGGAGCATGCTAGTCAATCAGTGTGGAGGTGTGCTGTGGACTGTTTCACTGTCGGCCAGGCCGGGCGAGCGAGTACCAGGCCCTTCCCCAACTTGTTTGATTTGCACAGCATTGTTGATTCCACATGAATGAGTTTGACTTGATTTTTGGAAGGGCAGCAGGCGTCCAACATTTCAGTCATTCGGAACAAGGCGTGCCTGCTTGTTCGCATGAAGTGATTTGGATAGCTTCGTGACATCCTGTGGCGCACCCCAGCCAGAACAGCCATTTAAACGATCGTTTGGCATATCCTCGGCAACATTAAATGATCCGAAATGTACTGAAATGTGAACATCATATCCTGTGTTACTCCCCATGAGTGTAGATGATATTGTTAGTGGGATTTAGTGGGCATTTTTCTTTTCCTGTAAGCAGGACATCCGAGCGCCTTGAACACTTCACAATAACAGAGTTGCAAGATGTCAACATTGCATACATTTGCATACCATTTGTACTTTTCAGGCAGCTGTCTTCTATTGGGCCCATTGATTTCTTCTTTGAGCAGAACAAGCCGGATGCTTTGTCTCGCCCCGACCCACTTTTCCTTCTCGTTTTTACATGTTCGTACTTGTTCCTTTTTTTGGAAAGAGAATTCAATCGCAACATCCGAGTCTCGGAAATCAGCACAATTGACAAATCATGCATTTGTTTTCATAGTATGTGCAAATATAATATAATTTATACACGGTTACAAGTATACGAATGTATACAATCTACCCTCCCAAGGTGTGCACTGGACTAATCAACCTCGTTGAACTTCAAACAATTTTTGAAGACCGTTCACAGAGGAAACATGATTTGACTTCGGCCGACGTGTAGCCATGTACCCCAATTGATATGAAAATCTATGAAAGGACTGCCACACAAGGATTTGGCCGCAGGAAGTGACAGAATGAGCGGCCGATGGCTTCACATCGATCGCCAAACTCACATTTTTGAGTCATTCTGAGTACTTGCAACTATTATCAACAAAAATCAAATACTACTTGATTTACTGGAGCAGGCGTGCGCTTGAAAACCCCTGTCTCCTCCGAGAGTCTGTTTGCGGATTACACTTTGTGGATCGTTGTAGCACATGGCGACAGCGTGGCAACAGCATGACAGCAGCATCAAGGTTCTGGAGGCTTGCAGATTTTGAAGCAGCACTCAGACTTGTGGATGTGCGCATCTCAGAACTCTGCCAAGACTTTCGCCGTGACATGCCGTGATGGTGGATATGGTGGCAGTTTGAAATGTACGGCATGTACCATGCTGCAGATTCGAACCGGACACTGACTCTGAGGTGCATGCACCTGGTGCGGCGTTGATGTACGGTTCTCAAAGAGCTGCTGTTAAAAACTCTTCCTGCACATTGCTACAACATTGAGCTGATTGCTAGTGACATCTAGTGACTCAGCGTCATATTGTACGTTTGCCCGCGGGGCCCGTGGCTCTCGAAACCATCAAGTTCACCGCCTTAGTGGCAGTGGCAGAGCACTTGCAGTGCATTTTGTGACCAGGTTTCGGCATTTCTTGGAAGCACTCGTGCGAATGACGCCAGCGGCCTTTCCAGAAAAGCAGGCAGTGCGGCAGTGCCTCAAAGTGGCTTACAACATCTTACAACATCTTACAACTGCTTGCAAGATATTGCAAGATGCAGCTTTCAGTCGTGTCATGTCGATGTCGTGTCAGTCTCAAGTCGCTGCTAGCGTTCAGGGGCTGGAGTCCATGCTCAAGGCGCTGCTTCAAGAGAGGGTGTTGACCAAGGTGGGAAGGCTGCTCAGCGACCTTGTCGGACAATAGCATTGAATCGAGAGAGGCGGTGCTGTTCCGAGATTGTTTATTTGTCCAAGCACAGGCAGATGGTCGATTGAATCCAGAGTGCTGCCGCCACTTGCAAGCACATGGTGGTGATATATTATGATATATTTATATATTGATTATATTGCACTTACAATTTTGTTGGGGTCAGAAATGCATGAGCACTTGTGAATGACTGTGAACAATCCTGCCTATTTGAAATGTGAGGAAACACGAGGAAACAGCGTTGTCAAAACATGTCCCCCACGATGCGAAGCTGATACGACTGGAGCTCCAAGGACCATTTGATTTCCTGGCCGATGCCAACGTCTTGGAGGTGCGCTTCCCTTCTAGTGTGAACTAGAAACATCACTGAAGGGTCGAAAAACATGGGAGAAACATGGAGAAAAGATGATCAACATATGAACACTGACTTGTTCTATGGAATTGGACGGATGGGCATGCTTGACGCCGACTTCGATTTAAAGACTTTGCAAAGTTTACACAGTGTAATCAGTGCACATTCGCCAATCGCAAGAGGTGTTTGGGAGCTTCCACAGCAAGCTTTGGGAACTTTTCAAAGACAACGCGGCAGGACAGCAATCTGGTACTGTATTGTGATCACTGAACCGATTCGCACATGTCCTTATCGTTGCAATTATGACAGCTTCGGCGATGTAATATCTTTCGTATCATTTCGATTCATTTCGTGTCTTCATGGCGGTTTGGTCCAGAGGCAATTGAGGTTGACATTTCTTCTTTATTTCCTAACGAATGTGTGCGCATGGTGTGCGCTTAAGTGTGTTGCAGGAGTTGGTGCCTATGCGCTCCCTTTGTGGGTTCGGTTCTTATTTGCTGAGTCAAGCCGCGCCAAGCCTGCTGTCGGAGTCTCTGTCCTGGCCGAAGGCCCAGCTTCTTGACCTCGAGGAAGAGTCAGGTCTGGCGGATTCTGGGAAGGGCTGGAAGGGCTGGAAGGGCTGGAAGGGCTGGAAGGGCTGGAAGGGCTGGAAGGGCTGGAAGGGCTGGAGCATAGCCATCTTGACCAATCTTGACCTACTCGAAGATGAGACTATAAATACACTGGTTTGCACATGAAGCCACGCGAACACATCCCTTCAGGAGATTGCTTGAACGTTCCATGTCAAGTGAGAGGTCTTCACTTGTTTCGGGTCTGCGTTTGTCAACTACCATACAAAGTCAAAACAGGTAGCACAGGAATGCACAGAACATTTCAATACATTTCACATCGGAGCTCCGTTCACCTTTCCAGGACGGTCATCCTACCGGAGGATGACTGCTCGTGGCATCCTGAGTGCTATCTGCTATCGGCCAGCGCTTACTACCGCTTATGAATGCTTATGATTTATACTACCAGTTACTAGCCAGTATTGGCCAGTACAGTTGCCGTTGTTGGAAACGCTTCGAACACTGATGCAACTGAGTGCTGAGGTCATTTTGGTGGACTGCAGCGCAGGGCCCCCTTCCGAATTTTAGAGGAGATAGGTGGAGATAGGTGGAGTTTAAACCAAACTTGTATTTGGATGATTTTGGATGGAGCTGCCTTGTAGGTACATATCCAGGCTCGCATGGACGTTACCATTCGAGTCAAGGACCTTGGGCATTTCAGTGTACCAAAATTCACTAAACATGATTTGGGATATTCTGGCATGCATTATATATATATACAGTATGCGCATTCAGTCAGCGTTACATGCTCTTCCATGCTCTTCTGTTGCTTTGCAGGTTTTGATTTGACCATTCTCGACGTTCTCCTGCAGCTTGAGCTCAAAATGCTTATGCGCTTGAGAGGCACTCCATGCTTCCAAAGCTGACCTCAACTTTGAGGCTCTTGTCTACCCGAACTGTCCGTCCAAAAGGCAGCGAGCGCAGACTCTACAAGTCTGCAGTTGCCGCGGTGAACGCGGCTGTGGCTCCTTTTGATGCGCCAAAATGTGTAGGGACATCAGTGTTAAACGGAGGCAAGCAAATCACAGTTGTTTTTTCAGATGGTTCTGCTTTTGAACTGCATGGCCTTTGGTTGCGAGATGCATGTCGTGACCCAACGGTGGTTTCTGAGCAAGCGGGAGAAAGATATCTTGACCGCATTTCCTTCTCACCAGAAGGACATCATAGCAGAGGTGAAGTAGCTGAAGCGAGGCTTCTTGGTGGCAGTGATGGCAGTGATGGCAGTGATGGCAGTGATGGCAGTGATGGCAGTGGCATTGAGATCACCTGGAAAGATGATCCACGATTGGAGGGAGCCAGAAGTCGATTTTCCGATGGTTTCCTGCGGATGTACTCATCCGTGGTGGGCAAGGTGCTCGATGGCCAAAGGCATCATCAGCGCAACAAGGACTTTGAATGGCTGAGAGCCTACTCTGGATTTGCCAATGCGCCAGCCCCAGACTTGTCCCTGAAGAAACTCTGGACAAATCAAGGAGTTAATGACGTTAACGTTAATGATCAATTTGAACATCGAGACTTTGGCACAGTTGTTTCCTCAGATTCAGCCAACCTGGAGTTGATGCAAGCCGTGATGGAACATGGCGTTATTATCCTGGACAATGTGCCAGTGGCAGATGACTCTAGTGTTTTGATGGACTTTGTGAACAAGTGCCTTGGTGGAATGCAGAAGGACCCTGCGCGAGACGAGCCGAATTGGGTGATCCAAAGGAAGGCTGGCGCGGTGAGCGTCAGCTATGCGCAGGAGCGACGTCTCAACAACCACACTGACCAATCGGTGCCGGCTCACGGCATTCCTGCCTTGCTGCTGGTGGTCAACTACATAGAGGGCACTGGCCATAACACACTCGTGGATGGCTATGCAGTGGCAGAAGCTTTGAAGCAACGAAAACCAAATGCTTTCGAGATATTGACAACATATGGGAACTGCCAGGAAAGAGACTTTGTGAGGTCAAGGGTAGATTCTTCCCAAAAAGGAACACAGCCGATGTTGCTTGCGACCAATCATCCGATTATCCAAGCAGATGCTCAAGGCAATGTCATTCGAATACAGTTTAACGAGGTTTTTAGAACTCCCAGCACCGTTCCCTTCGACAAGTTTGTTGAGTGGCACGAGGCATACCTGCTGTGGAATGAGATGATCCATTCTCCGCAGTTTGAAGTCGAGGTGCCAATCTCGCAGAAGCAAATGTTGATTCTTGACAACTGGCGTGTGCTGCATGGCCGCGCTGGCGGCAAGTCCAGTCCCAACCGTGTGATCATGGGTGGGACTGTTGTACGGGAGGCATTTCACTCCAAAGCTGTACAGTTGATGGGTGGCTTTTATCCTCCCCAACAAGGGCGGTAGCAAACCTTCAAATGCGCATTTGGCACTTGGCACACATATTCTGAAACTTGTACGTAGTTCTTCGCAACGGAGCAACTTGCAGGAGAACCCGTATCAAAGGATGCAGGTCTCTTTAGACAAGTCTCGGAATAAACGATGAATAATCATTTGAATAAACCAGAAAACAGCAAATATCAGCAAATACTTACAATTTTGCGAGTAGCGAAAAATGTTCTCGTTGAGCGCATGGAACTGCAGACAAACTCACATGAATGGCCTGAACACTCAAGAGTTGGAGATTCATTTTTGGTGTCAAAAGGCAATGTGCCACGTCAGTGTCACTCACACGAAAGCGTTCTCCGCCAGTGTGCTCACTTCCACAGAGATTCCTAAGACCAAGAAATTGGAATGCACTCTTCATACCTTCAAGAAATGCACTGATGAGATTCTGATCAGTAGGTGCTAACATTGCAGAAGTAATATACCATTTTGAAGAGTGCAGCTTATTTGTTGGCTTAAAACTTTTTTGTCAATGGCGGCGCGGTGGTGGTAATAGACACGGAAGCTGGAAACGTTCGCAGCTTTTTGCAGCAGTTGCACTCGGAGAAGACTGCCAGCATATACACAAAAATAGATTGCAACAATCAAAAGCACGCGCACACACACACAGACAGACGTTCTCTTATTCTCGCTCACAACAAGCGACATGCAACCTCCAATCAAGGAAATCATGGCAAACCTTTACCAATCTGGTGCACCATAGTAATGGGATGCAATGGGCAGATATGGGCAGATTATAAAGAAGACTTCCTGTGCCAAAGCAACATGGCTCACACATGCTTGCCGCGATGGCTGGCTGTTGGCACTTTGATTGCTCTTGTCAAAATTCAGGGAGAGGTGGTTTTCGTTCCATCCAAGGATTCCAAAGGACGCCTTTCTCATTTTGCCTTCGGCAGGTGTCGTAGACCGCGGGATCCGCAGGTTTGGCGACGCAGTACCGACTACTGGAGAGTCCTTGGAGTGGAACCTGGAACAAGTATCAAGGAGGTCAAACGTGTCTATCGCCAACGAGCGAAGAAGGAACATCCTGATGTCAACAAGAGCCCAGATGCACTGCAACGCTGGCGACGTTTGTCTGATGCCTACGGAAAGTTAATTGATCCAAATTATCGAAAAGAGTGGGAAGCTCAACAGGTTCAATCACGTCAACGATCTTCGACTGGATCCGCTGGGTCTAGATCATCCAGGTCCTATGGGGAAAGAGGCGAAGACTACAATGACTACACTTCAAGAACTTCAAGCACTTCCTCAAGATCACCAGGTGCTGCTTTTCAAGAGGAAGCCAGAAAATGGGCAGGTACTGGATGGGAATATTTCCGTGATCTATTGCAGCGAACTGACAGATTTCAAAGCTCGAGTCAGAGTTATGTCGTTCGCGAGTGGAAAGCCGCCGAATCGGAGCTTGCCAAGTTGAAGCAAGAGCTTCAGAAAAAGCGTGCAGACGAAGCCAAATACTTGGAGCTCACTGAACAGTTCAAACGAAGAGGACAGAAGACTGAGGAGTTGCAGGCTGGAAGAAGGACCTGGGTTGAAAATGGATGAAACTGGTTGAAATAGGGTTGATTGAATCTGTTTAAATCACGTATAGTTCTTTCAAAAAAGATAGCGAGATCAAACGTTGTCAGAGTACAAGAATCCCCCTACCTAAGCTGACACGTCCTATATTAGAATTTTCCTAACAGTTGCGATGGAGGAATATGATAATTGCACAAAATTACAATATTACGATATTGCTGATATTTTAGAGCTGACGCTCATCGTCGGCTCCGCCCGATTACTTGACCCGATGTCATCGCAGGGTGGGCTTGAAAGCTATTGAATGAGGACCTGCTGCTTCAGAAATATATTCCTTATGCTTTTTTGAACATATTCATGGATGTGTAAAAACTTCTGTGTGAAAAAGCTTCTGCGTGTAAAAGCTTCTCTGTGAAAGGCTTCTCTGTGTAAAAACTTCTGTGTGTGAAAGCTTCTGTGTGTAAAAGCTCTCTGTGTAAAGACTTCTTTGGCGTAAAAGTTTCTGTCTGTAAACGCGCCTGTGGGTGAAAGCTCTGTGTAAAGACTTCTTTGTGTAACAGCGTCTGTAACAGCTTCTGTGTGTAAACGCCCCCTTGTGTGTAAAAGCTCCTGTGTAAAGGCTTCTCTGTGTAAACGCTTCTGTGTGCAAACGCGTCTGTGTGTGTATATGTAATCACTTCTCTGTGTAAAAGCTTCTGTGTGTAAAAGCTCCTCTGTGAAAACGCGTTTGTGTGCAAAAGCTCCTTAGTGTAAAGACTTCTCTGTGTAAAAGCTTCCGTGCGAAAAAGCTCCTCTGTGTAAAGATTTCTCTCTGTGTAAAAGCTTCGGCGTGTACAAGCCAGTCTGTAAAAAGACTTCTCTGTGTAAAAGCTTCTGTGCGTAAAAGCTTCTGTGTGTAAACGCGTCTGTGTAAAAGCTCATCACCAGCAGCATTCATCATCATATAGAATGGGCTTGCGCCCGGGTGCCGCCGACCCCTCCTTCTTTGGGGGGGCGGTAGCCGCAGCCGTTTCACCGATCTCGGGTGCTTTTAAGGGTTTGAGGGCTGGCAAACGGCAGGCTTGAACGCCCTAACAACAGAGGGCCATGGAGGCAAACGGCAGGCTTGAAGGCTCTAACAACAAACGCCTGTGGCCAGAGTGCCTGGTCGAAGCTGCCGCGAGGGATTTTAGGGGTTTGAGGGCTCGCAAACGGCTAAGCGCAAGTATTTTCTAAACAGCGCCAAAGGCTTGTTAAGAAATGTTACTTTACAATTCGATTTGAGGGGTTGGATCACTATCCCAGGGTTTCCAAGCAAAAAGTGGAATTCGACAGGTTGGTTTTGGCCCCCCCGCCCTCCCCCTCTATAGGGGTAGGGATGGTTTCGCTCTCGTCACGATTTTCGATTTTTTTTAAAACGCGTAAATACCAGCGTTTTATTGCATTCATCAAGGCACAAAATCGGTTCAAAAAGTGCAAGCAAGATGGAAGCCATGAACCCGAATGTATTCAGGTTCTTGGACTACGAATGAAAACCTCTGCGGTAGGAAAACGAACCTTTTTTTTTTCCATGCATCGTGCGCGCATATCGCCTCAGCGAAGGCACCTGATCAACAGTTCACAAAGAGACAACTAACGCACAAAGACATGCATGGAAAACATCGCTTGAAGACAGTATATACATATTTTCCCTGTTACCAGTCAGTCTAAGGTGTGGAGTGGAAAGTGTAGAGTGTGGAGTGTGGAGTGTAAAGTAAGGAGTGTGGAGTGTAAAGTGTAAAGTGGGGAGTGTAGAGTGTGTAAAGTGTAGAGTGCCGAGTGTGGAGTGTAGAGTGTAAAGTGTAAGACGTCCCAGTACTACTTTGTACTTACTACAAAGCTTGCACAAAATACTTCCCAGTACTACTTTGTACCACAAAGCTTACACAAAGCACTTCCCAGTACTACTTTGTACTACACAGTTTGCACAAACTACTCCCCAGTACTACTTTGTACCACAAAGCTTGCACAAAGCACTTCGCAGTACTACTTTGTACCACAAAGCTTGCACAAAGCACTTCCCAGTACTACTATGTACTACAAAGCTTGCACAAAGCACTTCCCAGTACTACTTTGCACTACAAAGTTTGCACAAACTACTTCCCAGTACAACTGTGTACTGCAAAGCTTGCAGAAACTACTCCCCAGTACTAGTACATACTACTTTGTACTACAAAGCTTGCACAAAGCGCTTCCCAGTACTACTTTGTGACTTTGTGCTACAAAGCTTGCACAAAGCACGTTCCAGTACTACTTTGTACTACAAAGCTTGCACAAAGGACTTCCCAGTACTACTTTGTACTACAAAGCTTGCAGAAAGCACGTTCCAGTACTACTTTGTACTACAAAGCTTGCACGAAGTACTTCCCACTACTACTTTGTACTACAAAACTTGCACAAAGCACTTCCCAGTACTACTTTGTGCTACAAAGCTTGCACAAAACTCGTTCCAGTATTACTTTGTACTACAAAGCTTGCACAAAGCACGTCCCAGTACTACTTTGTACTACAAGGCTTGCAGAAAGCACGTTTCAGTACTACTTTGTACAACAAAGCTTGCACCAAGTACTTCCCAGTACTACTGTACTTTGTACTACAAAGCTTGCACAAAGTCGTTCCCAGTACTACTTTGTACTACAAAGCTTGCACAAAACACTTCCCAGTACTACTGTGCCTAACGTTGCTTTCTGACGTGGCAAAAAACTAGCTCCAAATTCCTGCTTGCAAACTTTCCAAGCCTTTCCTTCGCAGCATCGAAACACCATGGAACTAAAGGGCCCATGGAACTAAAAGGACAGACGGGGCCTTCGGCTGGAAGCTGCCTGTGCCTAACGTTGCTTTCTGACGCGGCAAGAAACTAGCTCCAAATTCCAGCTTGCAACTTGCACAATCTTTCTTGCCCATTTGGCATTGCTTCTCAGACGCGCTCCCCCTGGTTCCGTGGGGTCGGTGGATTGCATCACATACAATTTCATGCATTGTGTTGCAATATATTTTATCACAATGTAATTTCACTAGTTTACGCGTGTGTATGTCTGCTTCATACATACATATTATACCACCTGTACACAGACAGACTCATGATATACATACATTGCATGTATATTATGCAACAGACCGTGATTTGTAAATCAGTTTGAACCAATATGTAATCATATATCTATAACTTAGAACATCATATTATAAGAACATAGAATACACGCATGCATACGCGGCGAAGTAGGTTGTTCTTGCATGACGGTTGCATTGCCAGGACACTGGAACTGCGCAATCTAGTAGCTAAAACCCGCCAAAGAGTGCGGACAGCGTCAGAACAAGTTGATTACTGGAGAAACCTTGCTGAATCCGAAATAAAAGTCACGCTTCGGCACTCAGGTTTGACAGTCTGACAGATCTCCAAGTCACTGCAGTGCCAACAATTTCCTTGTTTCATGACATTTCATGATTTTTTGTGTTGCCCGTGGTGCCTGTGCGGTCACAGTGACTGCAAACCATTGCTGTTTTTTTGCAGGATGCACTGAGCATACTCTTCTATGCTGACCTCCTTTCGATCGGAGACATTCAGCCTTACCCCTATCAATGATATCAAACTGTTGCTTTTGTAGAGCTTTCATGCACCTTCTATGTTTCTTAAATCCCGGTGATGATTCTGAAACTCAGGCCCTCCGTGGATTGTCCAAACGACAGCATCTTCCCAGAACCCAAACCTGAGGAAACTGAGTCTCTATCCAAGCCATTTGCGTCGAATTTGCCTTAGAACGCTGGCGGTCAAGTCGCCACCTCCATGCCTTGGTGCCTGCACCCGAGGCCAGTTGCTGTGACGCCAGATACTGAAGAACGTTCGTCCTTGAAGAACACCTTCGGAGATTTCCAGCGCGGGTCCTTATGAGTCGGCAGTTGCGCCTGTCGCGGGCTGAAGCTGTTGGCAACCACGTGTTCTGCTTGCCTGCAAGGATTGAGAAGGCTGAAGCAAAGGCCAGAGAGCAAACATTGAGGCTGTATTCAATCTACAAAATGTATATGTATATTATATGATATATAATTAACAAAGTAATAACAAAGAAGATAGCACATCACAGCACATACATTATAAGAAAATATACTGTAAGCAGTAGTACTGTAACGACATACTATAGATTGTTGTAGTACCCAGTTTGAAATTCAACATGCAACTTTTTCAGATTCCTTCCTCCGGGCATTCAGCAAATTTCAGTCCTTTTCAGTCTTGCAGGATCTTCCTGGTGGCCAGACCCTAAAGCATTGCTTTCCACGTTCAGAAGCCTGCTGTTTAGATTTGAGCCTCTTCAAAGCAAGGTGGTCAGAGGGAAATGCTGGCAGATTTAACCAACAAGAATCCCAAGAAGGTAATCACACAAACGAGGCAGACTCTGGCAGACTGTGAGACCTTTTGAAAAATCTTTACATTTCCACAAGATTTTGAACTGAGATCACCGCACGCCGACTCCACCGGAAGAGTCTGCACAGGCTGAGGCGCAGTGTTCTGTGTAGTTGCAGTGCCGAAGATTGACAAGGTCGTTGATTCTGGGAACCGGGTTCAAAGTTACACACATAGACAGATTGGTGCCCCCAAAAAATGCACTGACACTTCTTGCAAGCAATGAAAGTGGTGCCGGCGAAATAAAACCGACTGCCCGACTTTGTAGGGCCAAAAGATTCCGCCAGAGAAGGAGATGCTTGAACTCTTCAGCACTGTCGACATTTGTTCAGCACTCACAAACAGAAGTATTTGACATTTTCTGACATTTGGCAGGAGATTGCTTCAACAGCTTTGACCTTGGCTTGTGCAGCTTGTGTTTTTTTGGATGCGCTGTTAGCCATAAATGTCTCTAGAAGAGTTTTTTGCTTTTCGGAGCCTTTGGGTTCAAGCCAATGGCCGATCAGTGGACCTTCATCGAGCGTCCAATCTACAAACATCTATAAACAGAACCGTACTTTCAGTCACGTCCAGCGTTAGATTTGAAAAGAGAACATGTTGTTGCACAGCAGCATTAATCACAAGCATTAATCACAAGCCAAACCTGGACTCCTTGCTGACCCTTACTTACGTACAAGAGTCTCCAGTTCGATGGCACGACATGTCATTTTCAGGGAATGGGGCTCGATAGCTAAGCAATGCTAAGCATGTGCAGGCTGAAACCGGCTACAAGGATTGGAATTCCGATCAGCTAGAGCTGACATCTACTATAGAAGCCAGCAGAATGGCGGTCGCGCTTCTGAGCCTTGGAGAGCTGACAGCACAAACAATCGGAGCTTGCCTCGTTCGCTCCCTGGGCTTCCAAGAAAAAAGAGGTTAGGTATGGTTAAGTCAATGGCTAAGTTAGTTAATAGTATTCAACTTGGCTGTGGATGGCTGGAGGGTAAATGTAAACTGAATGTATAAGGTGTTCTTCTCGACGAGAACTTGTCACTGGGCTTTCGCCTGACCCCAAGACTTTCAAGAGAGTGGAACAATATGAACAATATGATTAATATGAACAATCGCCTAAGTCTCCTAAGTTTCCTAAGTTTCCAGACCGCCAGATCTGACCAGGTCAATGCAATACACATTTGGTGGCTGTCACCCAAGAACAGGACTTGAGATGACTTGAGGGGATGAACAATTTTAGAACGAACGTGAACAAGCATTTGCGAACATCCGGTCCTTTACATGAGCATTTTCCCAGTAAAGTAGCGCATGTTACGGCTGTACGAACAATGCCTCCTCACAAACAGGTCCTTTACAAGTCGGGCGAGCTGATACTCTATGATTATTGATGATCTCCACGCATCTCCGTGGATTTTTGATGATTGTTGCAGATGATACGTTCGCTTGCAGGAACAACTACTTCAAAGAGTTTGCAGCTGCTGCAAACAAGGCCGCATGGCCCAAAGATATATACAAAGTACCACGGCACAACTGAAACGGAGCAAAAAATATCAACTTGCAGCAACCTGCTACATTCACAGCTTCTGGACGAGTCTGGAAAACCACTTGTTTTGAGACTGCTGTGGCAGTGCATCGAGAATTGGATTGCTGATGATTGCTGCGATATAGGGCGACGTGGATATGACCTTGATCATGAAGTATCACCCCGAGTCTGAAGCCTAATTCTTGCGATTTTTTCAATGTGAAGCCTGCAACATTGAATTCATACATGTGTTTCATGACCCTACTACTGACAGTCCAAGGACAGTATCGGAAACATTTGGAGACCAGTCTACAACGGAGTTTCAAATAGTGGAAGCCACTGCAAGCTTCTCAGAGAGAGAGAGAGAGACACCAAAGCGACATGTGGGTCTTCATCAAATACATGTGGAACATTGTGGAACATGACATGCGGATTATACCTGTGGGGCCGTGGGGTCTTCATTTCATGAACCACCGGTCAGCACCACGGAGAGGTCCCAGGAATCTGTCATGCTCCAAGGTCAGACCGGCCGCCTCAGTCATGCTGGTTGGAAACATGCTTCTCCACCTCAGAGGGAGTCACTTTGCTGCGTTTTTTAAAGGATGAGCTAATGATTTACTATTAGTAATACCAATATTAGTATTAGTAATACCAATAATTATTGTAATATAATATAGAGATATAATGAGATATATAGAGCACATCAATAAAAACATCAGATACACAATGGATATCAATGGATACATGTGACAGAATGTGACAGACGAAGCTCTGAAAATTTTGGTCCAACATCTCCATCACAAGGTGGCATATTCTCCTGCGTCGTGTTCGAGTCCCAACGTGTCCAGTGTATGGAAGATGTGACATGTGCATAGCAACATATAGCAACATATAGCAACATATAGCAACATACTGGCAAAATATGTGAACATTTGTGAACTGGCAAAATTGGCAAAGTACTGAGGAGTGCGATTCGTGGAGCAACTGCGAGAGCCTTGACAGTTGTTGAAGGTGAATCAGGTGAATCGACAAATGCATCAAGTCGAATCGAGCTATTCACAGAAATCTGTGAATTCTCACCCATCCAATCGAAAATTAGCTGCTGAGGCCCCATTTGGGCTGCTGATGGTAATGAGCACTCCGGTGATAACGGGAGCAGGCTGGAATCCTGGGATGTTTTGGGATCATGCTGAGCCCCAAATCCTGGAACTGACATAGGTGGCTCCAACGCACGAATGCGCCTTGCCCTGCCAACTTCAGTGTGCTCCCAAGCCTGCTTAAGTTGAAGTGGGTGAAAAATACTGAAAGGATGAAGCAACTCCTGAAATGCAGGAGCATTTGATAATTCTTGCTGAATTTGACAGACTGCTGGAATCCTTATTATGAAGCATTTTGATCATTTTGCAACCGGCATCCACTGCATGCCAAGGACTTGAACACGCTTTACGTCTTCCAATGGGCCAGTTGCTTAGATATCTAAGATTGGATGGGTGAGAATTCACAGATAGTTTGTCATTTTGAGCCAATTCGAAACATGTGAAATCACCAATGATCTTTGTCGATCTTTCAGGTTCTACTCCACTTGGTTGGCTTCGCATGCTTTATTGGGCCGACCATCTTGTTGGAATTGCCTGTCCGAAACCAAAAGAACACCATGGAAGAGTGATGCCAGTGCTAATTTCTTTTCCTATCTACTGTAGATATTTAAGCCAATTTAAGCGTGCACAAGATTGCACAAGTATGTTTAAGATTGTTTAAGTATGATCAAACTCTGCTGACATGTCATGATGACATATGACAAATTACATATGGATGTATCATGTATGGATATCATGGAACCAAACTTCTCAGGTGGCCATCATTGACCTGTTCAACCCTCCAAGGCCTGGACCAGGCTGGGCATTGAGCAAGGCATTGAGCAAACATATCATGACGCACGTCATGTGACGTGACCAGCACTGGATGTGGTTCACTGCATGTGACGGATTTGCAAGGTGAAACATGGGCTCGGCTCGCCAAGATGCTGCATTCTGAGTTTGAAGCAGTGATGATCACGTTGAAGATTTGCAAGTGTTTTTGCAGATTTGTTCATCGCATGCTGAGGCTGTGGTATGGTATGACTGTTCTACGTATCGTTTTTCTGGCTCCCTTTGCAGGGCTAGCTTTCTGTGCCATTGACAACTGTTGACAGCACCTCATGTTTCATGGAGCCTTCACACTGGGAATACAATGGGGCAGTTGGAATGATGGCAGGTTTGTCCAATCCTAATGCTGCGGGCAGCGCCAAACATGTTTGCAGACCAGGCGCAGTCAGTGCGTGGGACAGTGATGCCTCATGATTCATTGGGAATGCCGTCTTGGGGCCACAGTCGAGACAGATTTTTAAAAATGAAAAGGCAAGAGATGTAAGGATTGAAGAACTGGCTTCTACGGTGCATGACATTTGGACGTCATCAAACTTGTCATTCGCAGATATTTTGCTGGATCTTGAGGCCAAGAACCCTAACACATTGCGGGCCAAAAAATGGTACGGCGAGTATTGTGAGCTGACCTTAGTATTTGGGCTTGTATATTCTCTATACTAGTACATAGATGCATCCACACAGCACTCGCAAGCTGAGCTGCCACATTCAAACAAGCTCCTATGATTGCAGTGGATGTGGACAAGATAAGATCTTCCACTTTTGTACTAGGAGGCCTTTCCGACTGGAGCTTGAATTCTTTGTCAAGCATAAGAGCAAAGGTCGGTGAGTTGGGCGCATCCGTGATGTATTTCAACGCGATCTCAGTCACTCTGCTGCTATTTGGGGCGACGATGGGCGACGTGAGGCTATTGATGGATATGAATGGATATGAATGAATTATATACAAGGATTATGAAGTATTATGAAGATGTATGCGATTCATGTGCATTGCTGTACGGATCTTTATACACCTGGAGCGAGGGGGCAGTCATCTTACCGTTTCTTCACTGCTTGTGACATGTGCTGGATTTTACAGAGCATCTACTGTACTACTAGTATCTATACATATCTATACTTGTAGGAAGATAACTAGCAATAGCCGTCAACAGCCCCTCCTTGTTTTTCCCCGTGATGCTTGGCAAGAGTTGTATTGAGTGAATGATGATGTGCAGATGATCAATTTCTTCTGCATCCCCTAGGCTGTGTGTTAAACTGTTAAATACAGACTCCAGCCCTGGTGAATGACCACTATTATTTTCTTACTATTTCAGCTGTTTCAGCATACAGATCAAGCTTGGCCGCTTGGCCACTTGGCCATGCAGGTCTTCCTCCTTCCTGGACAAGGACCATACAGCCTCCTGGACGTGGTGCCCCTCTCAGCATCAGCGACAGGTAACTTCACTGTACACTGCTGTGACTAATGAGGTGATCGTTGCCACTATGCTGCTAGAATCGCTCAGACTCCTTTTCGCACCTCGGCTGCCTTTAGATCTTTCTGGAAAGGCGAGGATATGAGAAGCGATGAACCTGAGATGAACCTGAGATGAACCTGATGAAGGCTTTCAAGGGACGACTTATGCATTTTCTGCGCACCTTTTCAGTTTCAGCAGGAGAACAGAATCAAATTGTGTGAAATTATATTGAAATATATTGAACATATATAAAGTTATAGACATTATGTGAATGGGGCATCATGGGACTGTTCCTGCTGGCCATAACTGGAGCACTAAGTTCTACGGCCTTTGGTCCTTGATGCTTCTCCACGTGAAGAGCTCAGATTCGACACCCCGCACAATGGCAGGGGAGACAGGATTTGACCGTTTGACCGAGGCCTGGGATGATGTGGATTTCAAATACGAGTGTATGGCACGATCCACAATGAGCCGCGGTCCAGTGATGAAGGGCTTGAGGAGAGCTGTGAAGTGTCACCATGTGTCAACTCTCTTCAGTTTCAAGCAGTGCCCAAAGGCAGTGACATGGAAAGCCCAAAGCATGTCAGTGTTTCACATTGTTTCATGTTGCAGGCAGATCAGCGGCAGCCAATTGGAGCCTCGGCTATTCTCGGCTATTCTCGGCTATTCTGTTCCGTGATGATTTGATATGATTTGTCTGATTGTGACTTTTCAATTTCTTCTTACATTTTCTTAGGCTTGACATAGGTCCTATATGGTCCTATGACATTTGCGGACTCGGGACTTGGAATCTACAGAAAACCCCAAGTTCCAAGCAGCGTAAGGTCTTCCTCCACGCCGTTCAAGCTGGACACTACGATCCAACGGTCCTTCCCTCAGCTTCTCCAGTCGGTTTCAGTCGGCTCAAATCGGTTCAAATCGGTTTCAGTGTTTCAGTGGCATTTGAGCGATGCTTCCTTGCATTTCCTTGCCAGAAACTTTGTACTTAGCTGATCTTGGTCTTAGGAATGGTGTGTCACAAGTTCACCCATTCCAACTTGGGCTGCTTGGATGCAGAGAGCCTTGAATTGTGCATGATTGCGCTGAAGATGAAGCGACTTTGCAGATGAGCAATGGAGCACTTGGAGTTGCTCAGGGTCCAGTCGCAGCCTTGGGCGTTGCGCGGTGCATTTCAGTGCCCAGATGTGCCCAGATGTGCCCAGTGGTGCGCCGAGGTGAGGCAGTTTGTGATCCGACCTGAGATGTACGAAAACTTCAATGCGCTCCAGCCTCATGCCGCACAGATGCTACGCCGTATGCAGCGTTTGGACTCCTCTGGAGCCTCCAAGAATCCTTGAGATATGCATATAATAATCGTGCAATTCCAATGCATATAATGCATGTCAAAGAGATTTGGCGAGAAATTTCTCGGTCTGTTTTCCAGGTTCGATTTCCTGGACATGCATATGGAGGATCTCAAGCTCTTCAGTCAGGACAGGTTGACGCTGTTCAGATGGTTCGGGGTGACGGGGTGACGGGGTGACGCCTTTGCGATTCTCTGCCAGGATTTGCTCTCTATGCTGAAAGCCCTACCGAGCTCCTCAACTTTGTTCTTCCCATTTGGGGCGCTATCCTGAGAAGTTTTCTGGTTGACCTATGATATGTTTGATAGATTTTGATAGATGAAAAATGATGAAAGATATCATGTGATGAAAGATGGGACTCTGCTGGCAATGCCATCTTGATCATCTTGTCAGACTTCAGGACGTGTACAAGAAAGGCGTGAGAAGGCCATTCTTATGCCTATCCTGTGCCCTTGCCTTAGTTACTAAGTTCAAGGTTGAAACGTGGAAATGTCATGAAATGTCAAGAAATGTCATGACATGGCAGACGTGAACAGCAAGCAGCAGCCGGAAGTTTTTTGAAGTTGGCAACTGGAGTAACTGGAGCAACTTCCATGGCTTGGAAAAAGGTGAAGGTAACAGAAGTTAAATATGTTATAATACGTATACATACGTATACTGTATATTTAATTATAGTTAAATCGAGACATATATCGAGACTGCTGAGTAAAACTGCACTTGGCAACCCTTAGAGCTTCCAACCGCCTGAACCAGACCACCTCTGTGGGACCACTGTCTTGGACGAAACCAACAAGTCAAGCAGTATCCAACGCATTTCAAAGCATTTCAAACACTTCAAGGCATTGGCGGCATTGGCTTCAAGTACCAGGTAATTATTTGATATATTCCACTTCTCCCTCCCTTTGCTTCCAACCAGAATATCACTGGAGCAATCATTGACAAACGCTTGTCACCTTGACGGTACTCCTGTCGCCCTGCCACAACAAAACGCCTGGACGCCATTTTCAACCTGCGGTTTCGTTTTCGCGCGGGCAACTACAGTATCATGTTATAAACCCGCATTGGCTGAACCCATCCACATGGATGCTGACATGGGTCGCGGGTTCAAAAGCGTGTCGCCCAAACAATCTTCCATCACTTTCCGTCCCTGGTGTGGCCTGTGTGTGGCCTGTAGCACTTGGATGGTCAGTGGTCAGTGTATATCATGGTCATTTGTTTGGGCAGCTTCTAGGTTGACTTTGATGAAGAAGTTCATCGATTGGACGGGCCCAAGGCAATCCGTGGATGCAAAGATGATCAAAGCAAGCAACGTTCATACTTCATACCTTTATCATATTGATCATAAATAATATATATATATACATATATATATATTATATACAAATACATAATATAATTATGATATATTATGATATCATTTGACTGTATTTGATTCTGTGTGCATTTATGTGTATTTGTATGTAGATGATACGTGCATTAGGGTATTCACACAGCATTTCGTTTCCGGCGCATTGGATTGGAACTTTTGCTTGGCAAATTGTCAGGCCAACTCTGCTTTTCCAACTTGCAACGAGCAGGATGAGGCGAAGATTTCAAGAAGTTCTGCGATTTCAAACCTCGTAACCTCGAACAAAAAGGACGTGAAGAGAGAAACATAACAAAACAAACACGTTGTGAGTCTCAAACAGTGGCAGGTTGCGTTGGATGTTACAGACAAGGCCCGGCTGATCTTCTATTGAACTTGAACAGAGCGGGGGGATTCCTATTCCATTGCACGGCCATGATAAGATTCTCCTAGTCCTAAGATTCTGCTAGCTCTGCGTCACTCTCTTCCCATTTCTGCTCTTCAGAACGAGCCGTGCCAAGTTTTCCAATTTAGCTGACTAGCACGGCAGCAGGAGTAGGACTCGGCGTACTACTCCCTTGCCTCATTTCCGGAGAGACAACTTGATACTCTTGAATACATGATTCCCATTTATATGATTTATTCCCCGGTGCGCTCCCCTTTGCTTTCGGCCTGGGTCGGCGGATACGTATGAGGCTATAGGCTGCAGGATAATTTTGGCAGCTTGCGCTCGCGCTTCACCTCTGTGTGCAGAGGTATTCAGCATGGACGGTTGCCCGGAAGCTTTCAAAGCGCAGAGCTTCATTGATGCTTTGGCCGAGGTTCGCATTAAAGATGTTTTAGCAATGGAATGGCTTCCACAGAGAGAGAGAGAGATAGAGAGGGGAGTTCTTGTGAGAGAGGAGGGCAATGAAGATTTTGAAATGGATTGGAGGGGACAGGGAAGACTGAGAACATGTACGTAGTATATAGTCACAAGAAGTCAGCTCAAGCCACCCAATAGTATCCAATAGTTACTTTTCAAGATTTTTCAAGAATGACTTGTGAATTGTTTGTGGAGAGGAGAATGGTGGTGCCATACTGTCCTTGTTTGGACAGCTTGTGAACAAAGGAGGATATCAGGCTCGAAGCATCATTTGCCGGTGAATGCATCATGCTACAAGCTGATCAATATGATGATAATTGATGAGATATATATATATATATATATAATGTAATATAATGTAATATAATATATATAATATAATATAATATAATGTAATATAATATAATATAATATAATACAATAATATATATATATATACATACAATGTAGAGTGATATAAGTACGTGCTGGGCTGTGTCGTGAATCTAAAGAAATCCTCCAACTAAACACAGCACGGAAGGGATCAAACGAACACCGCCATGGGCTATGGGTGAAGACTGTGCGACACTTCTGTGAGGGCTGCGGCCAAAGTTGCAAAGTGATATGAGCCCACAAACCCTGAATCCTCAGAACAGTTCTTGAGCGAAAGGAAGCAGAGCGACCTGATCTTGGACCACACTATGAGGCCAGGAAGTTTCTGCTTGCTTTGCTTTCTAATTTTGGATTGCACATGCTGGCAGGTGCAAGTGCGAGACATTCGCGCGAGTCGTCCTTTGATTGTTCTCCGCACCCAAAAGACACAGAAACTGCCAGAAGGCAGACTTGCAGCAAAGATCGTCGTATCTCGTTGATCTCTGTCTCTCTCTCTCTTTACCCTCTGGTAAACTAACATAACTATGGAAAATCACCATTTTTAATGGGAAAACTCACTATAAATGGCCATTTTCAATAGCTATGTTAAATTACCAGAGGGTATATATATATATAATAATCTCTGTGCCTGAGTATCCTAAAGGGACATGTTTTAAATCGGCAGAGTTTGGTTGGACAGTTGGGCACAAGGGCTATGCTTGGTGCATCCTGATCCACTGGGTTATGCAAAATGTTTCTCCCTTCTGGAAGGCTGGATGGACCTCGCACAGAAGGATCTTCTGCCTTCCGAGCTGAGAGGCCATTGGTATTTATTTAACAACAGATCATATCAAAATATGTATACGTATAATTACTGTATTCAAGTATTCATTATTCATTAGGAATCGGAGTGTGACATCAACAGTGCCATGTCTTCATTCATCTTTATCCCATAGAAGAAGGAAAGTTAAGTTACAGTAATCAGTGCCAAGTAGAGAATTGCAGCATGCCTGGAAAGGTCCTGAGTCAAAAAAGGCCAAGTGAGCTTGGAAGTAGCATAGCGCCAGTAACGTTGTACATAGAAGGCTTTCAGCCCATTTCCGGTTCACCGCTTTTGGCGGAAGGGTTCAGGCAAAGTCATCATCCTGAACATTCGCCCGACATGCATTAACCTCATCAAGACTGCAAAACTTCCGTTGCATGAAAGCAGTACTTGTAGCACCCTGTCCTTGACCCATAAGAAAGACGTGGTTCGCTAATGTTCGCTATTCACGGCCCGGGTTGAGGTTTCAGATGCAGGAAGGCCAATGCGGTACAGTGGCAAATGAGGAAAAAGTGTCGCAAGTGACTGTACAGAATTGGATCTGTATCTGGATGTATCTGGTAACTGCTTGCTGCCAGTCACCCTACATATTCAACTCAGAAGACAACTGCATGTAGCAGGTGCAAAACATATCAAGAAAGGCGGCATTGTGTTTCTTAGAGAGTAACATGCCAAATTTAATCAGAATCCAAATTTGCACTTCGTAGAGAGTCAGGATGTCCTCGAAGCACATCCTGTATCGTTATTGACTATTGTATCACTTTTGTATCACTACTTGAAGTTACTTTTTGTTGGTTTCTGAGGCTGAAGCTCTTGCAGAGTTTCGCAAGTTGAACTTCAAGGCGCCAAAATGTGAAAGCCGAGCCCATACATTCGAAGACATTCGATACCTTGACAACGACAAGCGTCCCCCTTTGGTTGCCAGGTCAGCTATTTGGATGCTGTAGCCATTCTGACCGAGGCAAAGCTGTTTTTCACAACAGACATCAGCATCCATCAGGGATCATCAGCATAAAAAATTGGCGCTTTGGACTGGCTATGGACTGGCTATGGACTTGGCTTCTTGAAGCCAGGTCTTCAAACCTCCCAGCGTCAAAAGAATACACTGGTCACTGGATGAAAACTCAGCCGTGGAGGAGTTTTCAAGATTCAGCAATGATTCAAGAATGATCGAATGACAAATAATATCAAATAATGACAATGACGGTTCTGTGTTTCTGTGTGCATGATTTGACCCACTTGGGATGTGCATTTCCTGTGAAGGAGCTTGCCATGCTGGACTACCTTGAGACAGAGCTTACCTATCCGGAGTTCCAGCTTTTGTTGCCGATTCCTCGGGTACTCTGAAGAAAGGATATTGAAAGAGATGCTTCAGATACTCAATGGCACTCAATGCCAAGTCTGCCAACATTTCGAAAATACGGGGCAACCAATCTGGACTTGACACCGGAAACCCTGAGAGTATTAGTTTGCCAAGGTCAACTATTTGATGCTAATTGTACATACTCATGAGAGTAGGGTTTACCTGCCTGAGTCATGTCCTGACACGGCCACAGACACGGCCCCTAGGCTCCGACTGGCCAATCTTCCAGCGGAGAAGGTGCTACAGCAGAGACTCCCGTTGATAACTTGCTACGGACATGGTTATGGATCGCATTATGGATCGCATTTACCTGTTTAATGTTCTCTTCCAGCAGGCTAGGTGTTGGATGGGTGCAACGTGCTATAACCAGTGGCAACAGCAGATAATTTCTCACACGAAGGCAATGGAAAAAGACAGCAGGGGCACAACCAATACATACTCCCTGCCTCCAAACTAAGTTTTCTGTGAGCTGCTTTTGAACGAAGCAAGAGAAATGAAGATTTAGAGTGCGTTCTTTTACGAGAGTATTTGTCCAGGAACAAGGCAAGCCAGCCCCCCAAAAAGTAACTATTCCTGCTAATCTTTCGAATCGATGCCAAGGGCAACCTATTTTGAGTTCTATCTTGGGGCCGTGAGTTCTCGTTGACTCTCACTTGCCTCAGGCACCGCACCTCTCTTGCTTGTCTGTGCACGCATGCTTGGATGCTTTCCTTGCCAAGGCAGCACTTGTACATTTTGTGCATGTTCGAAGTGCATCGAAGTGCTTTAACCGGCTTGAGACGGCTTGATATATGGCCTAATACAAACTCACTTCCCAATGCATTCAAGCTGTGTGGGCAGGTGTTCCTTCCAGCAGTGCAGTCAGCGTGCCTGAGCTGTATAGACTGCGCTTGGGTTGTGTTGTTCTATGCTGTTGTATGGTCTTGTTCACCCAGATCAACCACTGTTTGATTATCTTCAGTAGCGTGGCTTCGTGAGGCAGTCCAGAATCCCTCCAGAACCTGAGCTACAAACGGCCGAAGGTTCAGAAGGTTCAAGGCCAGTGGTCGAAGTGGTCCCCTCGGGGTCCCGAGGGGTCCCGAGGTGATTTGGTTCAGATATGGAAAGGTGACATGAGATGGGCCATGGAGATCCATGGAGCCCCTGCGTAGGACGGCAAAAGAGGAATCGGCAGAGGGAGCTGATGCGGAGGCGCTGGAGATCGCTGGAGTACAGTAAAATGATCAACTGGAGACCGTTGACCCATGTCGACCCATGTTGACCCATGTTGACCCATGTTGAACATATCTGATGACTTGAAGTGACTTGAAATGACTATGATACTATGATAATCTATGATATTTGATCATACTTTATCATACTTTATGGTATACTTTCATTCAAGAGCACAATGCTTCGCTCGCTCAATTCTACGATGTTCTACATGATCTTTGCTCTCCAAATTGACATCATGCCATGGGTTTCTCCTGTCAGGCAGAGGCCGCTCAGCCTTCACCTGAAAAGGAGCCTGCACCTAGCTTGTGGCCTTGACCCAAGGCTTACTTTGGCAACTGATATCTCCCCATATCTCCTCACGCTTACCCAAACGCATGGCATGATACTATGAGTCTCATCCTAGAGAAGTTAAGCCGGTGTTTTACGATGTTATACGATGTTATACTATGTTATACTGCATTTCGCTGAGGTTGGGCTTTTGTGATCCCTATCATTTGGATGTAGCTGCAACGGTACGGCACCTGAAGACATCCATCTTGAAAGAATTCCTGGACGATGTGTGACATCCTGGATGATCCTGGACGCTCTGAGGCTGCTCCGCGGTGGTGGCCAGAGAAATATACCGATGAAGTGCGCAGCCTACGACAGCTGGAGTCGAACTCATGATGCGTCATGATGCTTGATGAATCTCTTTGAATCTGAACTTTAGGAATCTTAATGCATGTTTATGATCATTTATGATCCATGATGTTTCTAGTCATTCCAGTCTCGGACTTGGGCAGAAGCTCCCACAGGACATTCGTTTCAAGCACTTTCAGATCTTTCAGACTGGCGTTTAATCGTGCCCAAACATCTTCGGAACATGAATGTTTACAAATGATTTGGAGACAAAAATCATCCAGAATCTCAACTTCGACTCTTCAAGGCATGACTCCCCTCGTTGGCCGAGGTGCTTGGTTGGTGACAGCGGCTGCCAGCCGAAGATGATGCACTTTGCTGTACACATACGCTGATGCACTTCACCAGGGAATGAACAGCGTTCCCCACTCTCCACAAAAAGTGGACATGTGAAATAGTGTGAATAGTGCCACCCCAACTTAAGTCCATGTAGTTCTAGGAGTGCGGAAACCAAGGACATCCAAGACCAAAATGGAAATTCCATGAATTGTGACCATCAATGTACTTAAGTTTGGAATCTTCTATGTGGCATCACGACAAAGGCTGTGAGTCACAAAATCATGAATGCAAGTGTTCTTAGAGCAAGAAAAGTGCGACTGTGCGACTGTGCGACTGTGCGTGACAAGCTTCCGTTTGGGACAAGTTTCAGTGGACCAATTGGCTGCGCTTCTGGATTGCACTGGTATTTGGAGGTTCCGTGGGGCTCTGCTGCAGTTAGGTGAAATTGCTTTTGCGCTTTTGCTTCCTCAAGCATTGAGCCAAGTTAGGTCCATGACACGGCCATGACATTGACGCCGAAAGCGAAAACCATTCTCACCGTATCTCACCATCGTCATTTGTTACGGAGTCATTCAACGAAGAAAAATTAACACAACAAAAGAATACAAAAGAGACATCCAGGATAATATGTGTATCCGTTGAGAATTATTTGTTTACACAATCTATTAATGTCATTTAATGTCATCACTGTGCATGGGATTCGTAGTTGGGCGTTGTGCAGCAAGAGAAATCACTTTGCAGAGGAATCAGGTTCACTCTTTCGATCTCGAGGATCCAGAGACCATGTCCAGCCAAGGCGGAAAGACTTTGTCAGTTTTGAACATGCCAAGGCTGCCAATGTTTCAAAAGATCATGTATCCTGGTGTCACATGGAGATTTCAATCCCCTGAAAAAAATGGTGGATGCTAGGTGGAGCTGAACATGAAGGCTGGAAGATGCTGGAAGATGCTGGAAGATGCTGGAAGATGCTGGAAGATGCTGGAAGATGCTGGAAGATGCTGGAAATATGTTTGGGCCTGTTGCACAATCTTGAGTTCCTGTTCCTGTATATGATTCTTCCATTTTCCGAGTCTGCTTTCATCTCTGACAGCACAGACGATTCTAACCGTGCGGGGCACCTGTTGGAAGGGCTAGATGTTGCTCCTGCTGAGAGCTACCCACAGGAGTATTCAGGCCAGGTAGTCTGAGTGACATGAATTGGCAAAAGTGTTAGACAGATACAGTTTTGATGCAATGCAGATCACTATTTATCAGATTTTATCAGTGTCCACAGTATCATATTGAAAATTCGCAATTTTAATTGTTTGTATAATACACAGATCCCGCCCGGCTTCATGCATGATCTACAATGCTGTGTTTTTTTGTGCAGCCTTGCTACTTGCCCGCTTGGTTCATGTGAAGAAGCTGCTCAAGATTGAAGCCCGCTGCATCAGGAGCAGACGGTGAGCGTGGGGAGCACGTGGAGCGCACTGATCGCAACAAGCCCAAGGACAGGAGCGTAACATGTTTGCTGCAGTCCTTCACTTCGTAATTGCATCGCCAGCATTCCAGATGCCTAATGGTGCAGGGTGCTGGCCGCAATCGAGGCAAAGGCCAAGGATTGAAATCTGACGAAGTCACTCCTTGTGTAGAATTGATGTTCAGTCCTTGATGAGAAACATCATGAAACATCAACTGGCTAAGACATGATGACATGGTGACATGTAATGTTTGCCTTTGTGGCCAGGAGGCAAGCACGGCGGAGGTCATGGTGGATCAGGAAACTGGCACTCAGGAGAACTTGATTCACGGGTGAAGTATGGTGAAGTGGTCGTGATGGAAAGCGATTTTGACTTTGAGATTTAAAGACTTTTGATATATTTTGAAGATATCTCACTTGCAAACAAGGAGGGAGATCCCAACATGATGGTCATTGCCTCAATGTCGCAGTATCTTGGGTCCACTTCGCCATTAGCTTTTGTCGCATGAGCCTTGTCAGCTGGCAGAAAACCACTTGCGCATTTTGTGCTTTTGGTCAAAGGCAGCAAGAGACCATTGATCCTTGGAGAAGCTCCGCAGGCACAGAACGATGGCACCGCCGGAAAGATTGCAAAGTCGATATCAGTTGATCATAGTTGATCAATGTTCATCCGAAAGATTTGCAGAGTGCAAAACAGAGAAGTGCAGCCGGATGGCGCAAGAACTTGGTGGCAGTTTCTCAGTTGCTGTCAGTTCCTGTTCCTTCAACGGTTTCGTTGTTGCTGGAGGTGCGACTGACGGAGGCAAGTCATCTCAAGGGCTTCCTCGACATGTTTAATGTTTGAAGTTTTTTGAAGTACTTATTGTTCTCAAATTAATTGCATTACTGTATACTGCAGAAGGCTCAAAGCGATCTTTTTGTTCAATGAAGCGAATGCATCACGGATGTTAAGACTGATGATTTGATGCTACCGACCCGGTTCTCACATGACAGGTGCCGCAGAGCATTGCATTCTGTGTTGGGAGGACGCAAAGCCGCACACGATTTTGATCCATTTTGATCCATTTTGCGTGTCACATGATCTACGACGAGTCTTCTTGTTGGCCATCAGGGTTCATAAAGGTTGACAAATGTTTGTACTTGGTAGTAGCAAGGAAAACATCAGAGTCTCAGAGCTAAGAGCACGTGCTCTGAGAGGAGCAGCCCTCCTATGTCAGCATCGGCCGATGTAGGCCTTGGCAAGCGATCACAAGTGTACAGTTGTGCGAAGTTGACTTTGTAATCTTTGTAACAGGGTGTTCTTCAATCCAGTTTTTTTTTAACTGTGTTTTTCAGGTTGTACAATAGTCTATCGCAGTGCACTGTCCTCTACTACTCTGCTGTTCAGTGATGCAGGCATGCTGAAGTTTGTTGGGTTTGCACTCTCCGACTTCGTTTCTTGAATCAGGAGGGTGGTGTAGCTCTTGCAAACATGCATGAATCACAAAATTACTGGTATCAAGGCGGCAGAGCTGACGCTACTGGACCATACTGGAACTATTTGATCTCTTTGGAACTGCTTTGCACTCTGAAATTCTGACTCATTAAAATTCATTAAAGAGATTTAAATGATATCGATGATTCCCATGATTCCCATGATCCCCATGATTCCCAGGACACCAGATGTCCCTTGTGCAATGAAGAGCTTGGAGAGGTGCACCACGACTGCGCCAATCTGCCCGATTCCGCATCTCGCATCCCTGTGAGGTTCTTCTGACGAATGACAGAACGGCTTCCGTGGATCCCAATGACTGCAGAGGGTTGAGTTTTGAACCAGTGGTCCAGATCGGTCCGATGAGAGATTTCTATGGATTTATCATGATTTTATCACTTTGGATGACTGAACACGATTGAACTGGATTGGCACTATGTTACATTGAACTGGATTCAAATACCAGACGATTCCTTGTGACCTTGTTTGTGTTTTCTGCTAAGTGGCCTTTAGAAAGAGGTCAGTTAAGGAAAACGTAGAAAGAGGTCACTTAAGGAAACGCACCAAACAGTGGCCTACCTCGTTTCATCCCACCTCGAAGCCCCAGTGACACGCAAGTGACACGCAGTGACACGCAGAAATCATGAGATCAGCCAGGCAAAGAGGTCACTTAAGGATTCATGAAACGAGGTCACTTATGCATGATTGATCTTGTAAGTGACCGTTTGGCACTTTGGGTCTAAGTGGCTTCCATTAGAGAGGGCAGAAGTAACTGCCTGATACTCGTACACAGACATATATTGACAAATATTAGAAATTATTAGAATCTGTTAGCTTCCCCGCAGACCAACCACTTTGAGATGAAGGGAGTGTCCAATGTGTCCATTAAGACTTTGGGACCGCAGGATCTTATTGGGCTGAATCATGAACGCCCCTGGATCTACTTCGCAGATGACATCATCCGTTGGGATCCTGGAGAGACACAACATGACACAACCCTATCCGTAAGCTAAGCCAATAGCTTCATGGTTTTCGAACAATAATGATCATAATAGAATGGGCTAGCGCCCTGTGCCGCCGACCCCCCCTTTGTGGGGGTGGCAGGGCAGGATCAGTAAATAAAACCACAGGAGAAGTAAAGACTTTCAAGACCTACACGAAACAGACCGGTGTGAGCTCGAGTTGAGGATTGTAAGGGTGGTGGCAGTATTTATAAGTAGAGGAAGCCATGCAGCAGTTGGAGGATTGTAAGGGTGGTGGCAGGTGGCGCGAGGGATTTGGAGGGTTGTAAGAGTTTGAAACGTTTGAAGCCTGGTAAGGGCTATGACAAAGCAGGTTAAACACCTCCGGTGGAGGGTTTTAGGGGTTTTAGGGGTCTTAAGCGTTTGAAGGCTGGCAAACGGCAGGCTCGAATGCCCTAGAAGAGAGGGCTATGTGCAGGCAAAGGGCAGGCTGCAATGCTGGAACGCTGACGGTGCAGGCAAAGGGCAGGCTGCAACCCTGGAGCAGCAAAGGCTGACGGCCAGAGGGCTTGGTGGCAGCTGCCGCGAGGAAGCCATGCAGCAGTTGGAGGATTGTAAGGGTGGTGGCAGGTGGCGCGGTTCCACACCTCCGGTGGAGGGTTTTAGGGGTTTTAGGGGTTTTAAGCGTTTGAAGGCTGGCAAACGGCAGGCTCGAATGCCCTAACAAGACAAGGCTATGTGCAGGCAAAGGGCAGGCTGCAATGCTGGAACGCTGACGGCCAGGAACTTGGTGGAAGCTGCCGCGAGGGATGGTTTTAGGGGTTTTAAGGGTTTAAAGCTTGGCAAACGATGTGCAGGCAAAGGGCAGGCTGCAACCCTGGAGCAGCAAAGGCTGACGGCCAGAGGGCTTGGTACACCTCCGGTGGAGGGTTTTAGGGGTTTTAGGGGTCTTAAGCGTTTGAAGGCTGGCAAACGGCAGGCTCGAATGCCCTAACAAGAGAGGGCTATGTGCAGGCAAAGGGCAGGCTGCAATGCTGGAACGCTGACGGTGCACGCAAAGGGCAGGCTGCAACCCTGGAGCAGCAAAGGCTGACGGCCAGAGGGCTTGGTGGCAGCTGCCGCGAGGAAGCCATGCAGCAGTTGGAGGATTGTAAGGGTGGTGGCAGGTGGCGCGGTTCCACACCTCCGGTGGAGGGTTTTAGGGGTTTTAGGGGTTTTAAGCGTTTGAAGGCTGGCAAACGGCAGGCTCGAATGCCCTAACAAGACAGGGCTATGTGCAGGCAAAGGGCAGGCTGCAATGCTGGAACGCTGACGGCCAGGAACTTGGTGGAAGCTGCCGCGCACATTTAAAGCCCGCGCGGAAGGCCTTGCACAGGTGAAGCCGGCGCAGGCGCCTTCGCGTGTTTGGTGCCCGCACGGAAGGCAAAGGACGGGCCCCGCCGTCTTCATCAGGTCGATGACTTGAACCGCTACTACGGGAATGCGGGAACGGCTGCTTTGGCCTTGAAAGACCAAATTTTCCGCAGGAAAACTTACTTGCCCAAAGCATATAATTTTCATGTCCAAATGCCTGGAAATCTGAACTGGAGGATGACGCATGCCAGGAGAACGGCAGGCTGCCCTATAACAAGAGAGGGCTATGTGCAGGCAAAGGGCAGGCTGCAATGCTGGAACGCTGACGGTGCAGGCAAAGGGCAGGCTGCAACCCTGGAGCAGCAAAGGCTGACGGCCAGAGGGCTTGGTGGCAGCTGCCGCGAGGAAGCCATGCAGCAGTTGGAGGATTGTAAGGGTGGTGGCAGGTGGCGCGGTTCCACACCTCCGGTGGAGGGTTTTAGGGGTTTTAGGGGTTTTAAGCGTTTGAAGGCTGGCAAACGGCAGGCTCGAATGCCCTAACAAGACAGGGCTATGTGCAGGCAAAGGGCAGGCTGCAATGCTGGAACGCTGACGGCCAGGAACTTGGTGGAAGCTGCCGCGAGGGATGGTTTTAGGGGTTTTAAGGGTTTAAAGCTTGGCAAACGATGTGCAGGCAAAGGGCAGGCTGCAACCCTGGAGCAGCAAAGGCTGACGGCCAGAGGGCTTGGTGGCAGCTGCCGCGAGGAAGCCATGCAGCAGTTGGAGGATTGTAAGGGTGGTGGCAGGTGGCGCGGTTCCACACCTCCAGTGGAGGGTTTTAGGGGTTTTAAGCGTTTGAAGGCTGGCAAACGGCAGGCTCGAATGCCCTATAACAAGAGAGGGCTGGAGCAGCAAAGGCTGACGGCCAGAGGGCTTGGTGGCAGCTGCCGCGAGGAAGCCATGCAGCAGTTGGAGGATTGTAAGGGTGGTGGCAGGTGGCGCGGTTCCACACCTCCGGTGGAGGGTTTTAGGGGTTTTAGGGGTTTTAAGCGTTTGAAGGCTGGCAAACGGCAGGCTTGAATGCCCTAACAAGACAAGGCTATGTGCAGGCAAAGGGCAGGCTGCAATGCTGGAACGCTGACGGCCAGGAACTTGGTGGAAGCTGCCGCGCACATTTAAAGCCCGCGCGGAAGGCCTTGCACAGGTGAAGCCGGCGCAGGCGCCTTCGCGTGTTTGGTGCCCGCACGGAAGGCAAAGGACGGGCCCCGCCGTCTTCATCAGGTCGATGACTTGAACCGCTACTACGGGAATGCGGGAACGGCTGCTTTGGCCTTGAAAGACCAAATTTTCCGCAGGAAAACTTACTTGCCCAAAGCATATAATTTTCATGTCCAAATGCCTGGAAGTCTGAACTGGAGGATGACGCATGCCAGGAGAAGGTTTACGCGATGTGGTTTGACCTTGGAAAGCTAAGAAGGAAAAGTTCCACACCTGCGGTGGTCCCAGGCGCCGCCCCGGCCTTGGCGAAGGCCGGGGTCGGCGGATTTAATAAATGTAATAATAATGATGGTTTGAGAGTATTGCATCCGATTTTGGGAGAAATCGTTGAGCACTTAGCATCCATCAACCATTGTTAAGCTTGATTGACATGTGTTCATATGTGTTCTGTACCCTCAGGCAGAGCTGTTTTGTCGCTCTTGGGATATCGATGTCAAATTGAGCGCCCGGAACTTGATAAACAGAGCAGATTGCCCAGAGATGTTTCACGCGTTCCTGTAATTTTCCACAGGTCTTTTGACGAAGATCGAAACAGATAAAGATGGACTATGATGGACTTCTGCAAGGCTGCAAGCAGAAAGACACTGCCTTCCAGACGCTCAGGCAATTGGAGGAGTCTTTGCGAAGATTTCTGACGATTTGAGATTCATGTAATTCTTTCGTGATATTTATTTGATGCAATGATGACACGAATTTAAACATTTTGCAACGTGAAGTATCTGTGATTTGTGTCTCTTGCAGCATGAATCTTTGGCAGGACCATCTTTGGTTTTCCCATTGGCGCCAGCTTTGCAGCGTTTGCCTCCATGACCGGCCAGCGTTCATTTGTGAACAGCGGGTCAATGCCTTGGCTGGTGATGGGTGTGATAAGTGGATTGACACCATAGGTCTCCAAAATAATATCAGATATGATACAAACATTGATAAACTGTATATCAGTACACGCCGTATGACAGTATATAGTATGTACATGATTACATATGTGTTATATGATATGTCTATATATGTCATATAGGTTTAAATATGTTCGAACATGCTTGCATCTTCAATGCTGATGATTCTTGTCAGGGCTCCTTAGCGTTGCGTTGATGATGCAGATGATCTCAGAAATGGAATTGCTACCCTGATCATGTTTTCTCAGGTGAAGCATGAGTCAGCTTTGCTACGCTAATAATTAGATTCATTGTAGAAAGTAGATCTCAGGACTGCTCAGGTTGCAAGGGGCCTGCTCTATTGGGGTGTTGAACAAGAATCCGTTTGACATGATTTGGATTCTTGTGGCATTTGACATCCTTTGACATCCTTTGACATCTTCTGACCAGAGGGATCCAGAGGGTAGTCGACAAATTTGGGGACCGCAGCTCCAAGGTGTATGCGTCAACTGACATAGATAGGCACCATCGGGAAGGCGATTCAGCCAAGTTGAACCTCGGCAGATGCGGTCACCGGGGAGCTCTACTTTGGAATCTTTGGACTTTGAATGGAATGAGATGCATACATCTTTAATCATAATCATATTTATCATATCTTACAGTATTATCTTACAGTATTATCATAATATATATAATATATATATATACGATTATATACGTATATATATATATATATATATATTAATATATACACAATATCCGTGTAAATTTTACAGATGAAGTTGCGTATAGACAGACCATCATGAACCCCTGAATGTGTGTTGCCACAGGGAAGGAACCAAAACAGGACAAAAGTATAACTGCTAAAATAAGCACGGATGCACACGGTGAGATGGCAAACTCTCGTGACCCCTACCAGCATGTTGAAGGCGGGCTTACCTCAGCTTTTTCATGCCGCAGCTGAGGGTTCAGGAGTGACAACCTTTCCAACCTTATTAGAGATCCACGAGATGCCCGCAAAGTCTGAAATAGAGAGCTCCAAAATTGACACCATGAAATTATGATGTGAATTTCATGAATGAGAAATTGACATGATTGTTTTGGCTCGATTCCGCTTCAATGTTCATTCATGTATGGATATTTTTGGTATAGTGATAGATGTGACAACGCTGCCAATGACATCGCAGCGTAGTGTTGCCAATGTCGTGAATACCAGAGCAATGATCCTTTCCGTTGCTTCTCTGGCTAGCTGGATATTTCATGCAAACGCACTAGAAGATGCAGCTTTTGCTTGGCAGGACGAGCAGCACCTGCAAGAGATTTCGAGTTCCCCGCGAATCTATCAGATCGATGATTTCCTCACTCCTTCTGAGTGCGAGACTCTGAGGCAGCACGGCGAACCTGGCTTGGAGCCATCCTTGACTATTGACAGGAGCTCGGGCAACGTTGTTCCCGATCCAGTTCGCACAAATATGCAGATGTATGTCTCTGTGAAGGACAGTTTAGAACATCCGCTCATTCGAACTCTGGTGCGTAGATTGTACAAGTTGGCACGGATGCCTTTAGGACATGGCGAGCGCATACAGATTGGACGATATCGGATAGGTGAAAAGTACGATTGTCATTTCGACTCAGAGTTAAGACAGGGTGTCATTCGCTCCGCCACCATCATCGCCTACCTATCAGATGTTGAAGGTGGAGACACCCTCTTCCCTATGGGTCAGAATTGCCAAGTTCTGGCTCAATGCTGTTCTGATTCAACGAATTCTACTGCCATGAAACATCTACATCCAAAACTGGGCCGCGCTATTCTGTTCTTCTCACACGACATGGACTCGAACTTGAATCCTCATGCTATCCACTGCTCCTGTCCTGTGACACAAGGAGAGAAATGGATTCTTCAGGCTTGGTTCCGAAGTCAATTGTATGACGAATCTCCGCACAATCCATTGAGGACCAGTGATGTGGAATTTGCTGAGCTTTAGACGTGCGGCAAAAGAATTTCATGCAGCTCTGGGATGCAGTATCCATCAGTATCCCGTCTCCGTTCCCACACTGTGTCTAAGAGAGTTATTCGGGAATTGTTGATAGTGCAATGGCAATAACGTATGATTTTGACACGCTGAGGATGGAGCAACGCGCTATGCCGACAGTGGCTTGATCTGTTTTTTCAGATGTTTGTTTTGGAAAGGACGGGAGTCTGATGGGAGGATGCTGGTTTTGGTCTTTGCACATCGACTTTGATCACATATCTACGCATACTCCAGTTGTAAAGCTTCGCCGCTTGCAAGGTGCCGGCACACCCGCGATGTCAATTCTGCAAACAAAGGCAGCCCCGGAGCAGAACACTTTTGAAGTTTGGAGACTTCAGAGATGTCAGGTTCTTCAACGAAGATGTTTTGCTCGCACATATGTACAGGAGGCACTGGGATACTGGGCCTTTTTGTTGCTTTCCCAGCCTACTCACTGTATAACTTTGTCTCTGCTAAATGTTCACTGCATATATTTCTTTGCTGTTGTGATTTTGATTGTCTTCATCCATGCTGAATTGGCATTGAAAGTCGAGCAAGGCATGTTGTTTGCCAATTGTGCGACTCTTTGGGACAGAAGAGCGAATTTTATTTGAATTTGAAATGTTCGAACCTCAAGAGCTGAAGCTGAAGTTTGCAGCATGTTGCAAATCCGTTTCAGATCCTTTCAAACCTAAACTGGAGGGCCATTCACATTCACTTTTCCACTGCAATAAAAACAGCAACAATCCTTTTCGGATCCATCTTGACTAGATGACTAGATGAATCCTCAATTTCTCAGGCCTATCTCGCCATTACCAAGAAAGGCATTATGTTTGTGCCCACAAGGACTTCTTGGAATGGTTGAACTGTTGACTTTGCGAACAGTCTTCACCACAGGTTTCGTGTGAAAGATTAATGGCTGACAAGGACTGCGAACATGGTGGATACCGTCAAACAGCTTTCGCCGAAGGGAGGGCACAATGCTGAGTGTTTTTTTACGCGATGGGACGATGCAGAAATCCACAGGATTTTTTCCGGGATTTCTCGGTGAGGCCTTGATCGAGCACTACGAAAAGGTCCACAAACAAAGCTTCAAAGACGAAAAGGCAAACGTTACTGGTTGATACCAGCATCATCCAGCATCAAGGTATTTTTGTATTCAGCAATGTTCAACAATGTTCTACGTCCAACAATGTTTAACAATGTTCAACACTATCTATAGCAATATCTAGCAACATCTTCACATACATCATCACACATGCATGTAATTCAGTGGCAGTCCACTTTTCTGGTGCCGTGGCTCTTTGACGTCTTTTGCGTATTTTTCCTCGGAAGGGACGGACCAAGCTGTCTATGGGCTTTATTGAGGAGGCGCAGCGCAGTCACCATTTACCGATTTTACCGGCACGCCAAATTTGAACTAAACACTGGAATCATTGAGTTTGGGTCAATGAGTCAAAATGAGTCAAATCATTGGAGATGCTGAGCAGAGACGATATGATCCATGACTTTCCAACTTTTCTGTCCGTATCATTCTCCTGCCATTCTGGCACTTTCAGGACAGCAGCCGAAGAGGGAAGGGCTCAGGCGTCCTGACCGCGTTGCAGTGTTGCAGCTTCAGAAAGGAGGCCTCACACGTCCTCAGCTTTCGAACTAGATTCACTAGATGTTATTAAATCTCAGGGCGTGGCTCTGGTTCTACAACAGACGTGGATCATGTACAGTTTCGATGGCCGCTCCGAACTTAGTAGATTTCATTTGATTGAATCACTCTCCACCATATTCACCACTATTCACCCCTGTTCAAGTCACAAATGCCAAGAAGTGCACCTAGGAGTTTCTTGATGTCTCTTGATCTCACTGTGAAAGGATCGATTGCCAGTCTACCAAGGTCAAATTTAGAACCAGAGGACTACACTGAGGTGTCAACAACATAGTGACTGCTGACTGATTCAAGCCTGTTGAAGACATGCCGTTATCAAGCATTCTATTAAGCATTCTGTTGTGTCTTTGGAGGCTGCCGGCAGCGAGGCACGGTCAACATGCTGTTTTGCTTTATTTTTTTGAAGACATTTCAAGATTTTCAAGTACCTTCTGCTGGTTTCATAAGGCTGATTTTATTTTGTCAAAACTGGGTGATGGTCCCAATGGTTGGTCGAAGATCCCAGACTTTTCTCCGTTGATTTTCTGTCCCACCTCAAGAAACTGCTGCACGGAACTATGTCCTAGGACCGCGGCAATCGCGAGTACTACAACCGATATCCTAAACGGGACATTGTACCACTGTCGACAGAGAAAGGAGGCCCTTCGAACATGCAACTGCTTTGCTTCATTTGCACCAGGTATTTCAAAATTGCTCATGAAAACTGGCAGGCAACTGGAGGGTGGCCAACAAAGCGGAGGGTGAAAACCCCGAGGCGTCCGATTTTTTTCTATGATGATGCATGAACTATTATGAACTTAATATGATATTCATTTTTGATGTCTTTGATTCATTGATATGTTTTTTGACATTTTTTGACCAGGTTTCCAGCGCCAACCAACTGAGAAGTCACCAGTGGTCGACCAGCGGTCGCAGTGTTGCCAGGCTGGTGAGGCTGGCGAAGCTGGCGAAGCCCAGGAAGGCGAGAATGAAGCCGCTGAAGCCCGTGGCGGTGGAGGCAGTGCCATGCCCTGCCATTTCCTGTACGGTGACGGATGTGGACGGATGTGGACGGATGTGGACGGGGTAGGGATGGCTCATGGATCATGATGGATCCCCTACTGAAGTTTGCCGTACGGAAGGTGTGTACACTGAGTGTACACTGTGTGTACTAGGTGCAAGGATGGTGCAAGGATGTTGCACATTCACATTCGCGTCTTGTGGCTTTGGAACAATTTCACATGGCAGGAAGAGTCGCCCGTGGAGATGCTACAGCTGAGGCAGGGCAATGCGAAGCTGACTTCATCTGACTTCGAACTGGGTCGACTGAGTTGATGTTTGAAGGAGGCTGAGCTACTTCCGGAACTGGAGAAACTGAGCATAGACTGCCTGGGCCTTATGTTTAGCGTTGTTTAGCACTCTTCGATGTCTGAGTCTGACTGGAATTGAAGACAACTGTTGCTCATTCCAAGGTGCTTTTGGAGCAGAAGGTCGCAATGGGGCAGTTGACTCAAGATGACTCAAGTCAAAAGTTTCAAGTCTTCCAAGCCACTTTTGTCACAGACTTCTTGACACAGAGATTTGTCACCATTTGTGACCCATAGTCACAAGATGTCACAAGATTTCACAAGGCTCCGAGTTGCCTCAGTGCTTTGCATGCGGCTCTGGGAGCTTTGGTCACTGAAAACGAAGCCGAAATTGCAGGCGCTGATCTGATCCTTTGACTGGGGGCATCATGGACGACTCTAAATCAGAATCAGCTTGTCTTGCAGAGTCTTGCAGTCCCCAAGTCGAAAAGGAATTGCATGAATTTGAAATAATTTGAAATAATAGTAAGATGTAGCAAGAGTTTCACAGCTGTCAGACCACTTGAGTAGCTTTCCATGACATTGACTTGCATTAATATACTATGATATGATTCGATATGATCTCTTGACTTTTTATAGATTCCTCATTCATACTATGCAGGCTGGGACATCAAGCTACTACCAGCGGTTCGCCGATTGAATCGCACCGAGGTTTCTTTGACGCCATTCAGTCATTGCAACTAGATGATTTCACTGATTTCAACATGTTTCAACATGTTTCAACAAGATACACTTTCTCATACTTTCTCTATCTTTCATTTTTTTCTATATGTTTTCATAATTTTTCTATCTTTCCAATTGTATCGCTTTCTCATGCTTTCTCATATCTCCATAAGCTGAAAATCAACCATTGCATCAGCGCAGAAGTGAAGGTTGAGACCTTGGAATGCATGCGGATCTACTTGCACGACCATGACTCAAAGGCAAGGTTTTTGCAGCCTGGATCCGGAAGATGGGGACCAGCTGTGTGGCAGGAGGATGAAGAGAATGGAGATAGCATTGATTGGGAGCCTTTGGAGCGGATCTTAGGCAGGGCATGATGGGAAACGGATGGGAAACGACATGAAACAGGAAATAGCGTGAAATGGCATGAAACAGTGCGTGAAACAGTGCGAAATTCCATAAAGAGGCACGCAATATGTGAAATGGTGTGTGGCTTCGGCGCTCAAGGTCTCTTAGCTCATCAGGTTGATTTGACTTGAAACAAGTCACCAGGCTCCATGGCTGACTCCAGAGAGCTGCCACTCGAAAAGATCGTGTTGGTGATTGGAGAGACAGGAGTGGGAAAATCCACGATTGTCAACATGCTCTACAACAGAGATCCAAGTGTCGGCTGCTGCAAGTACCCACAGCCAACAGGCAGCACGTCCAGTGCAGTTACTCGGTTCTCCACCATGCAGTTCGACTTTGTCAGAAAGTGGGCCCTCTTGGACACGATTGGGGTTGGGGATCCCAACCTGAGTCAGCAGCAAATCCTTGGCAGTATCCGGAACCTCATTAAAAACACCTCAAAAGGTGTGCACTCCGTGGTGGTTGTCATGAAGATGGGCCGGGCCAGCCATGCTTCTCGGGCCAATGCTCATGTGTTGAGTTACCTTTTCTCTTCCCGTGCCGTCAAGACTCACGGAGTGCTCGTCCTGACCCACTGGGAAGGGGACTTGGGAAATGAGGACCGTGATCTGGCTGATTGGAACGCTCGTGATCCAGAAATGCAGAAGTATTGCCGTCAGTTTTCCAAGGTCATCCTCACCAACAACCAGCTTCAAGGCCGCGGGGCATATCCGGAGTGCAGGCAAAAATGCTTGGAGCAATTGTGCAGCCACGTCGCCAGCATGGAGGGAAAAATCAAAGCAAGACCTGTGACACCTCGCGAAATTTTTGTTTCCCTCCTTGAGAAGTTCGGAGATTTGCTGTGGGGCAGCGCAGTGTCACTCAAATCTATGGTGCTGGGATGCCAAGATGAAGAAGTTCCTACTTACTGCGGTGAGTGCGCCGTTTGTTTGCAAAACATGGAAATTCGTCAGGCCTGCAAGCTTGTTTGCCACCACAGCTTCCACAATCATTGCATTGGAAATCTGGCAACTTGCCCAGTCTGTCGTGCTGAAAAAGTGACAGAGTGGCAGTATCTTGAGATGTTTCTTTCAGCTGCTGCGTGACTGGAGCAATTCAACCGCTTAGACCGAAAAGTTTTTGGAAAAAAATGTCGCTTCGAACAAACCATTGCCATCCATTGACATCCACTGACACAGCAGTTACATGCAGTTACCAGCATTGGGTCCCTACGTATTTATATACTCATGTGACTCATGTGGCGATGGCCAGGCTTAAGACCTGCCCTCCGCAGGTTGCTTCATGTTGACAAGGCCCCTGCCTAATGCTGCCTACGCTGCACTTTCAACTTTCCAATCTGCTGGAAGCTCTTGAAGCCTTGGTGCCAGGTCAAACCACCGTTGCACCCTCAGGTGCTGAGATAGTCTGAGATACATGGCACGCCATGGCACTGTTCACCGGATAGATGACAGATCATTGAGATTCTTTCAGTACGAGACTCTGAGAGGGCCGGGTGAAACTGTTCAACTACACTTTGCTCACGAAATCTCACGAATCCACTTAGGACAAACGCAAGATCCCGACAAGCCATTGGGCCCAGGCAGGACTGCGACAGAGTTGAACCAACATTTGACGCCGGGAGTGATTTCGAAAACAGCCACTTGCTGCCAGAGACGGGATGTTTGACAGGCAAGGTCAGACAGAGGTGGAGGAACAGGACGCAGCTGGCAACTCACCACCAAAAGCGCAGCAAGTCTCAGAAGGGGTGCTAGCGAGAGTATGCTGCCGGCAGGAGGATGAGAAGGGTTGGAGAGAGTGGAAACAATTGGCACAGGCCAGCGCTATCCAGCGCTGCTGTTGACGTTTTGACCCCAGCAATTTTGTGAATCCATCGGGGCAGATTCTGCAGGTCCGGATCCAAGCGTTGGCTCCAAAAGCTCAGCAACGGCTGCTGCGTTACGCCAGGACCTTGGTTTTGCAGCGGTTTCGGGTTTGCTGCGTTGCCAATATGTTGGATTCAACTGATTCTCGTGGCGGAATCTACACGGTATACCGGGTATACCATAGCATATAAATCGATATAAATCGATCAAATGCTTAGGGCCGTCAGTCACAGGGCACGATTTGATACGATTTGTGTATACCGTTTGCAGAGTCTTTTGCAATATTTTGCACATGTTGTTGTAGTGTCTTACCTGAAATTCGTTCAACGGTGTTGGTTTGCAACCATTTTTGGCTTTATTTTCGACGCACTAAGTCAAACCTGCAATACTGAAACGGCATAATGGGGCAGTTTGAAACCGAAACTGTCGCGAATCATACTTGCTGGGATGGATTGGGGATCTCAACATCGATTGCAGTTTGAGTTTGAACAGACACACTGTGTCAGCCTCGGAAGAATCTCACCTTGTTTCTCTTGCGGTCTTTGCTTTTAAGTTCATGACGGAGTATCTGCTCTCATGCATGGGCAGGGCTAAAATCTACAATCCGTTCTCCATAGTTGATAGGGTCTTGTGAATGTGTTTCCTGCATTTCCCGGCACGAATTAGTGAATTGAGCCTGTGTGTTCATGCCATGGTAGTATATATAATATATACATATACATGATATGAATAAATATTATATAGTATTTAAGGGCTGCCGCCCCTGCCGCCGACCCCGGAAGAATTGGCAAGCCGTCAGAACGTATATATGGTACAGGCCTGCACCCCCCCCCAAAAAAAATGGGGAAAGGATGTTCCTGGGACAGTTTTACACGCATTGTTGCCTGTTATGGTTTTTATGTTAAAGGGGAACGTGCGTTCCTTGGTGTTGATGTTTTTTGTGATGTATGTTGTAAGACATTTTTGGTAAAAACGTTTCATCCTAACCTTGTTGATTATTTTAGGGGAGTATCATTGATTGGGTCAGGATTTGTTGAGGTTGTTAGGGTTTTAAAGTTTTCATTTATTCAACTAAGATTTGAAAAGAAGGGAATGTATCATTAAGATTGTCTATTATTTCTTGATGACTTAACGGTTCTGTCACTTCTTCATTGTTTGATTGTTTTTGTGTTTTTCCATTATCTTTTTGTTTTTGACCGGAATTGTTGGTTTGTGCTCATGGTTTTTTCTTTCCATTTCTTTTTAGGATGGTGTGTCTGCCTAACGTCCCTTCTGAAATCCTAGAAAAACAACCTTTTTCCGAAAACAACTTCGAAAAAAGCATAAAAGCAGCTCCCGGCAGGAAAACACCATGGCTCTGAAGGACGAACTAGTTCTAAAACCACGCCAAAAAAGTGCCTAACGTCCCGTCTGAAATCCTAGAAAAACAACCTTTTTCGAGAATTTCTGTTGCCTGCGGCCGCTCGCAGGAAAACAACTTCGAAAAAATCACCTCCCGGGGGGGAAAACACCAGGGCTCTGAAGGACGAGCGAGTGCCAGAACCACGCCAAAAAAGTGCCTAACGTGTCGTCTGAAATCCTAGAAAAATCTAGATTAGATTTTTGGTAGGCTGCTGGCTACTGGCTGCTGGCTGCTACTGGCGCTGGCTGCTAGCTACTGGCTATGTGCACCTTTTGCGTGCTCTTGCCCACGTTCTTGACACCCATTAGTGCCATCCTAGAAAAACACAATTTTTCGTGCTGCTAGCTGCTGCACTGCTACCATTGCGCTTACTGCTGCTGCGTCTGCTTGTGTCTGCTGCTGCCTGCTGCTGCCTGCTGCCTGCTGCTGCCTGCTGCCTGCTGCTGCCTGCGGGCAGCTCCCCTTTGCGTCGGCCGGTCCCGTCTGAAATCCCAGAAAAACAACTTTTTTCGAGAATTTCTGTTGCCTGCGGCCGCTCGCAGGAAAACAACTTCGAAAAAAGCAGCTCCCGGCAGGAAAACACCATGGCTCTGAAGGACGAACTAGTTCCAAAACCACGCCAAAAAAGTGCCTAACGTCCCTTCTGAAATCCTAGAAAAACAACCTTTTTCGAGAATTTCTGTTGCCTGCGGCCGCTCGCAGGAAAACAACTTCGAAAAAAGCAGCTCCCGGCAGGAAAACACAATGGCTCTGAAGGACGAACTAGTTCCACAACCACGCCAAAAAAGTGCCTAACGTCCCGTCTGAAATCCTAGAAAAACAACCTTTTTCGCAGGAAAACAACTTCGAAAAAAGCAGCTCCCGGCAGGAAAACACCATGGCTCTGAAGGACGAGCTAGTTCCAAAACCACGCCAAAAAAGTGCCTAACGTCCCGTCTGAAATCCTAGAAAAACAACATTTTTCGAGAATTTCTGTTGCCTGCGGCCGCTCGCAGGAAAACAACTGCGAAAAAAGCAGCTCCCGGCAGGAAAACACCATGGCTCTGAAGGACGAACTAGTTCCAAAACCACGCCAAAAAAGTACCTAACGTCCCGTCTGAAATCCCCCGGCAGGAAAACACCATGGCTCTGAAGGACGAACTAGTTCCAAAACCACGCCAAAAAAGTGCCTAACGTCCCGTCTGAAATCCTAGAAAAACAACATTTTTCGAGAATTTCTGTTGCCTGCGCCCGCTCGCAGGAAAACAACTTCGAAAAAAACATAAAAGCAGCTCCCGGCAGGAAAACACCATGGCTCTGAAGGACGAACTAGTTCCAAAACCACGCCAAAAAAGTGCCTAACGTCCCTTCTGAAATCCTAGAAAAACAACCTTTTTCCGAAAACAACTTCGAAAAAAGCATAAAAGCAGCTCCCGGCAGGAAAACACCATGGCTCTGAAGGACGAACAACCTTTTTCGCAGGAAAACAACTTCGAAAAAAGCAGCTCCCGGCAGGAAAACACCATGGCTCAGAAGGACGAGCTAGTTCCAAAACCACGCCAAAAAAGTGCCTAACGTCCCGTCTGAAATCCTAGAAAAACAACCTTTTTCGAGAATTTCTGTTGCCTGCGGCCGCTCGCAGGAAAACAACTGCGAAAAAAGCAGCTCCCGGCAGGAAAACACCATGGCTCTGAAGGACGAACTAGTTCCAAAACCACGCCAAAAAAGTGCCTAACGTCCCGTCTGAAATCCAAGAAAAACAACCTTTTTCGAGAATTTCTGTTGCCTGCGGCCGCTCGCAGGAAAACAACTGCGAAAAAAGCAGCTTCCGGCAGGAAAACACCATGGCTCTGAAGGACGAACTAGTTCCAAAACCACGCCAAAAAAGTGCCTAACGTCCCGTCTGAAATCCTAGAAAAACAACCTTTTTCGAGAATTTCTGTTGCCTGCGCCCGCTCGCAGGAAAACAACTTCGAAAAAAGAAGCAGCTCCCGGCAGGAAAACACCATGGCTCTGAAGGACGAACTAGTTCCAAAACCACGCCAAAAAAGTGCCTAACGTCCCTTCTGAAATCCTAGAAAAACAAACCATTAAAACAACATAAAACAATTTTTTTCGAGAATTTCTGTTGCCTGCGGCCGCTCGCAGGAAAACAACTTCGAAAAAAGCAGCTCCCGGCAGGAAAACACCATGGCTCTGAAGGACGAACTAGTTCCAAAACCACGCCAAAAAAGTGCCTAACGTCCCGTCTGAAATCCTAGAAAAACAAAATTTTTCGAGAATTTCTGTTGCCTGCGCCCGCTCGCAGGAAAACAACTTCGAAAAAAACATAAAAGCAGCTCCCGGCAGGAAAACACCATGGCTCTGAAGGACGAACTAGTTCCAAAACCACGCCAAAAAGTGCCTAACGTCCCTTCTGAAATCCTAGAAAAACAACCTTTTTCCGAAAACAACTTCGAAAAAAGCATAAAAGCAGCTCCCGGCAGGAAAACACCATGGCTCTGAAGGACGAGCTAGTTCCAAAACCACGCCAAAAAAGTGCCTAACGTCCCGTCTGAAATCCTAGAAAAACAACCTTTTTCGAGAATTTCTGTTGCCTGCGGCCGCTCGCAGGAAAACAACTTCGAAAAAATCCCCTCCCCGGGGGGAAAACACCAGGGCTCTGAAGGACGAGCGAGTGCCAGAACCACGCCAAAAAAGTGCCTAACGTGTCGTCTGAAATCCTAGAAAAATCTAGATTAGATTTTTGGTAGGCTGCTGGCTACTGGCTGCTGGCTGCTACTGGCGCTGGCTGCTAGCTACTGGCTATATGTGCACCTTTTGCGTGCTCTTGCCCACGTTCTTGACACCCATTAGTGCCATCCTAGAAAAACACAATTTTTCGTGCTGCTAGCTGCTGCACTGCTACCATTGCGCTTACTGCTGCTGCGTCTGCTTGTGTCTGCTGCTGCCTGCTGCTGCCTGCTGCCTGCTGCTGCCTGCGGGCAGCTCCCCTTTGCGTCGGCCGGTCCCGTCTGAAATCCCAGAAAACAACTTTTTTCGAGAATTTCTGTTGCCTGCGGCCGCTCGCAGGAAAACAACTTCGAAAAAAGCAGCTCCCGGCAGGAAAACACCATGGCTCTGAAGGACGAACTAGTTCCAAAACATTCCAAAACCACGCCAAAAAAGTGCCTAACGTCCCTTCTGAAATCCTAGGAAAACAACATTTTTCGAGAATTTCTGTTGCCTGCGGCCGCTCGCAGGAAAACAACTTCGAAAAAAGCAGCTCCCGGCAGGAAAACACAATGGCTCTGAAGGACGAACTAGTTCCACAACCACGCCAAAAAAGTGCCTAACGTCCCGTCTGAAATCCTAGAAAAACAACCTTTTTCCGAAAACAACTTCGAAAAAAGCATAAAAGCAGCTCCCGGCAGGAAAACACCATGGCTCTGAAGGACGAGCTAGTTCCAAAACCACGCCAAAAAAGTGCCTAACGTCCCGTCTGAAATCCAAGAAAAACAACCTTTTTCGAGAATTTCTGTTTTCCTGCGGCCGCTCGCAGGAAAACAACTGCGAAAAAAGCAGCTCCCGGCAGGAAAACACCATGGCTCTGAAGGACGAACTAGTTCCAAAACCACGCCAAAAAAGGACCTAACGTCCCGTCTGAAATCCTAGAAAAACAACCTTTTTCGAGAATTTCTGTTGCCTGCGGCCGCTCGCAGGAAAACAACTTCGAAAAAAGCAGCTCCCGGCAGGAAAACACCATGGCTCTGAAGGGCGAACTAGTTCCAAAACCACGCCAAAAAAGTGCCTAACGTCCCGTCTGAAATCCTAGAAAAACAACCTTTTTCGAGAATTTCTGTTGCCTGCGCCTGCTCGCAGGAAAACAACTTCGAAAAAAACATAAAAGCAGCTCCCGGCAGGAAAACACCATGGCTCTGAAGGACGAACTAGTTCCAAAACCACGCCAAAAAAGTGCCTAACGTCTCTTCTGAAATCCTAGAAAAACAACATAAAACAACATAGAAAAACAACATAAAACAACATAAAACAACATTTTTCGAGAATTTCTGTTGCCTGCGGCCGCTCGCAGGAAAACAACTTCGAAAAAAGCAGCTCCCGGCAGGAAAACACCATGGCTCTGAAGGACGAACTAGTTCCAAAACCACGCCAAAAAAGTGCCTAACGTCCCGTCTGAAATCCTAGAAAACAACATTTTTCGAGAATTTCTGTTGCCTGCGCCCGCTCGCAGGAAAACAACTTCGAAAAAAACATAAAAGCAGCTCCCGGCAGGAAAACACCATGGCTCTGAAGGACGAACTAGTTCCAAAACCACGCCAAAAAAGTGCCTAACGTCCCTGCTGAAATCCTAGAAAAACAACCTTTTTCCGAAAACAACTTCGAAAAAAGCATAAAAGCAGCTCCCGGCAGGAAAACACCATGGCTCTGAAGGACGAACAACCTTTTTCGCAGGAAAACAACTTCGAAAAAAGCAGCTCCCGGCAGGAAAACATCATGGCTCAGAAGGACGAGCTAGTTCCAAAACCACGCCAAAAAAGTGCCTAACGTCCCGTCTGAAATCCTAGAAAAACAACATTTTTCGAGAATTTCTGTTGCCTGCGGCCGCTCGCAGGAAAACAACTGCGAAAAAAGCAGCTCCCGGCAGGAAAACACCATGGCTCTGAAGGACGAACTAGTTCCAAAACCACGCCAAAAAAGTACCTAACGTCCCGTCTGAAATCCTAGAAAAACAACCTAACGTCCCGTCTGAAATCCTAGAAAAACAACCTTTTTCGAGAATTTCTGTTGCCTGCGGCCGCTCGCAGGAAAACAACTGCGAAAAAAGCAGCTCCCGGCAGGAAAACACCATGGCTCTGAAGGACGAACTAGTTCCAAAACCACGCAAAAAAAGTACCTAACGTCCCGTCTGAAATCCTAGAAAAACAACCTTTTTCGAGAATTTCTGTTGCCTGCGGCCGCTCGCAGGAAAACAACTTCGAAAAAAGCAGCTCCCGGCAGGAAAACACCATGGCTCTGAAGGACGAGCTAGTTCCAAAACCACGCCAAAAAAGTGCCTAACGTCCCGTCTGAAATCCAAGAACAACAACATTTCTCGAGAATTTCTGTTGCCTGCGGCCGCTCGCAGGAAAACAACTGCGAAAAAAGCAGCTCCCGGCAGGAAAACACCATGGCTCTGAAGGACGAACTAGTTCCAAAACCACGCCAAAAAAGTACCTAACGTCCCGTCTGAAATCCTAGAAAAACAACCTTTTTCGAGAATTTCTGTTGCCTGCGGCCGCTCGCAGGAAAACAACTGCGAAAAAAGCAGCTTCCGGCAGGAAAACACCATGGCTCTGAAGGACGAACTAGTTCCAAAACCACGCCAAAAAAGTACCTAACGTCGCGTCTGAAATCCTAGAAAACCAACCTTTTTCGAGAATTTCTGTTGCCTGCGGCCGCTCGCAGGAAAACAACTTCGAAAAAAGCAGCTCCCGGCAGGAAAACACCATGGCTCTGAAGGACGAACTAGTTCCAAAACCACGCCAAAAAAGTGCCTAACGTCCCTTCTGAAATCTTAGAAAAACAACATAAAACAACATAAAACAACTTTTTTCGAGAATTTCTGTTGCCTGCGGCCGCTCGCAGGAAAACAACTTCGAAAAAAGCAGCTCCCGGCAGGAAAACACCATGGCTCTGAAGGACGAACTAGTTCCAAAACCACGCCAAAAAAGTGCCTAACGTCCCGTCTGAAATCCTAGAAAAACAAAATTTTTCGAGAATTTCTGTTGCCTGCGCCCGCTCGCAGGAAAACAACTTCGAAAAAAACATAAAAGCAGCTCCCGGCAGGAAAACACCATGGCTCTGAAGGACGAACTAGTTCCAAAACCACGCCAAAAAGTGCCTAACGTCCCTTCTGAAATCCTAGAAAAACAACCTTTTTCCGAAAACAACTTCGAAAAAAGCATAAAAGCAGCTCCCGGCAGGAAAACACCATGGCTCTGAAGGACGAACTAGTTCCAAAACCACGCCAAAAAAGTGCCTAACGTTCCTTCTGAAATCCAAAAAAGCAGCTCCCGGCAGGAAAACACCATGGCTCTGAAGGACGAACTAGTTCCAAAACCACGCCAAAAAAGTGCCTAACGTCCCTTCTGAAATCCTAGAGAATCCTAGATCTAGATCTCTAGATCTATCTTAGATCTAGATCTAGATCCTAGTTCGGGAATCCTTGCTAGGCCAGCTGCTTCGGCCGAATCCCCCAGAATCTCCTAAACAATATTACAGCTAGGCCTGCTGTTTCGAAGCGGTTCCGAAACAGCAAAACACCACCTAATTTCGTGCCGAAAATAACGAAAAATCGCGGCTTCGGGAATCCTTGCTAGGCCAGCTGCTTCGGCCGAATCCCCCAGAATCTCCTAAACAATATTACAGCTAGGCCTGCTGTTTCGAAGCGGTTCCGAAACAGCAAAACACCACCTAATTTCGTGCCGAAAATAACGAAAAATCGCGGCAGAAAACTACCTAACGTCCCTTCTGAAATCCTAGAGAATCCTAGATCTAGATCCAGATCCTAGATCTAGATCCAGATCCTAGTTTAGATCCTAGTTCGAGAATCCTAGCTGGGCCAGCCGTTTCAGCCGAATCCCTCAGAATCTCCGGTAGCTAGGCCAGCTGTTTCGGCCGAATCCCTAGAATCGCCTAAACAATATTACAGAAACCTGCCTAACGTCCCTTCTGAAATCCTAGAGAATCCTAGATCTAGATCCTAGTTTAGATCCTACTTCGAGAATCCTAGCTGGGCCAACTGTTTCAGCCGAATCCCCCAGAATCTCCGGTAGCTGGGCCAGCTGTTTCGGCCGAATCCCCCAGAATCGCCTAAACAATATTATGGCTGGGCCTACTGTTTCGAAACGCTTCCGAAACAGCAAAACACCACCTAATTTCCATCTTCTTCCCTTACGCGCTCCCCCTTGCGTCGGCCGGGGTCGGCGGATAATATAGAATGGATATAGAATGATATAGAATTATGTTGATAAATGTATATTGGCAATGACAGGACAAGCTGAGATACGACAGATACGAGCTTGCGGGCTGAGGTGGAACTGTGCGTTCAAAGACGGACTGCTCTGGAGCAGATTGGCGAGGGTGTTCGTGATTGGGAAGATGAAAACATCGAGCAGGCACCGGATGTCCTTGAATACTTGGGCGGAGCAGCTTGGACTCGCATGTTCTTTTGATTTTTCTTAAATCATCAAAATCCAAAAGATTGAGCAACGCCACTTGGTGGATGAGAAGGGTCAACACCAGCTGGGACATGTTGGACTGTCCTGAACGAAGTGGACAGATGTGCCGTTGGCGCATCTTACAATTCAAAAGGTTGGTATTTTCCTGATCATCACATATCATCACCATCCACCTGAATTTGGGAGGCGTTTCCATCCCTGAGCCAAAGTGCCTCCGGCAATGCGGTTTGAGACCTTAGAAACGAGGAAGGGGAGCGACCTGTGCTGCTAAGGGAAGATGAGGAGATTTCTGCAAGATCGGCGAGGTAAAGATATATAATAAGGTTAATATCATGTAATCATATTATGGAGATTTGTGAATTATATGAATGTACTACGTTTAAATAGATCGTACAGTTTCCATGACCAAGCCAAGGTCCCTTCAACGCAGCCTGCTGAAATGAATTCTTTGGCAAGGCACGCAAGAGGCACTGCGCTCAAGTCGGGAAGCAGACTGATCGGATGGAATTCACACTTGTCTATACTTAATTAATCTTAATTATCTTGCAATCGATTGGTACGAAGAAAGATTTAGAAAGTGCAGTGATGAATCCACTCATGCAAAACTGCTTGAGCAGAATCAAAGTGCAGTGATGAATCCACTCATGCAAAACTGCTTGAGCAGAATCGCCAGCTGGTTGTTGTAGCTACCATGCCGGAAGGGCGGAAATTTGCCTGGAACCTGCAACGCAAGAAGAATGGAACTCCAGTCACTGGCAGGATGGGCGGACATGGCAGCTGGTCACAATCGCGAGGCTGGGATTTTCAATTGAGGATTTAAAATTTGATGATTAAAATCAATTGAGAATGACTTCCAATATTTTTCAAGCACAGTGATAGAGAAACACAGTCGCCCATGCGGATCCGTGGCAAAGGCAGTCACGAATGTCGAGGAGCAGTTCCCTGCCCTTGGGGGAGGACGGTTGGGAGAATAATTTCAAAAAGCCTTACTGATTTTTCATATTTTTCGATTTTTTCTGATGCTGAGCTTTCTTCTGATGTGCTTCAATCAAATTCCAGTCCTGCTCGGTGCAACCCTACTCTCACATCTCTCACTGGAGCATGAAGACAATGAAACAATATGAAACATGTGAGAAGGACGTGACCACCCAGATATTTTGATTGCTACTAGTACCAGGGACGTCCACTGCAGCAAGGCCCAGTCGGATCCCCAGTGCTTTCCTTCTATTTGAAATTTTTGAGACAAAACCTGTTGAATTTCTGATCCCGCCAAGGTTGGGGGCCTCAAAGAAATGCTCCTGTGTTACTCAGTTGCATGAGTTCAACATAGTTCAAGTGCTTCAACAGCTTGAGCCCTTTTCTGGCTTCTGAGGTAATTTGGTGATGTACAGTGTATTCCTGTCATTTCTCATATTTCTCTTCCTTTTCGATCCACTTTTCGTTGGTTTTCCGGATGTTTCCACAAGATTCCACAAGGCCAAAGGATTCTGCTGACCGTGGAGTCCAGGGTGCAGTTGAGGTCAAGGACTCAGAGAGATGCGCTGATGGTCTCACAGGGAGTCCGTTGCAACATGTCTGAGGCTCCAAAGAGTGACGCTCTCGAGAAGGAGGCACGGGTCGAGCATTACATTTACATAGATTCATTTGGAATCCACTAGAATCCACTATATAGATGCACTATTCAGATGCAATATATAATATTCAGATGCATTAGTCAGATGCATTAGGAAGTACCAAGTATATCCAAGTATATCCAAGGATTCTAACAACTACTTCGATTTGCCAGTGTGCTGTAAACGTACGGCGCCTGTAGGCGTTTCCTAGCCTTGGTGGGAAAACGACCACTGTCAGTGCCCCAATGCGTTTGGATGAAACTTGAAACGCGGCTACGAGAAGGTGTAAGATATGATAAGATATGAACACGCAGGTTGGATATGGTTCGATGGCAGGCGGAATTATTAAAGCATAGCAATTTCGATGTAGCTAATTGTAACTTACGCTTCTCATGAGAAAACTGAGGCGCCTGAGAACGTCAAATGGGGAGCACCCAATGGGTCCTTGCCTTGCTAGCGGGAGGGCGCCACAATGCACCAGCGTTGGCATTACCAGGATGTTCGATGACGTTTGGCAGCTCTCTTAGGACCAAGGAGGTGCCAAGTGACCCACCTGACGGCTACAGCCTAAGAGCTGGATCCATGACATCACAAGGTTCAGAAAACGAATCAAATGAAGCTTCGCCCTGATGATCTGTGTTCAATTGTGTTCATGATGTCCGTGGTAAATTTGTGACAGCACAGGTGCAGCATCATCGTCGAAGCGGGAGATGACCCTGGAAGAATGGGCTAAGCCTGCGCCTAGGGTTCAATCCAGGTAGTTTTGCTGGGTTGAGATTGGTTGAGATCACTCGACACCCACACCATCTCCCACCCCTCTCCCAACATCATTAAACAATGAAACAGCTGAGGCCCAAAGCTCCAAAGGTCGAGAAGAAGGACACCACTTTGATTCCCCCTTCCTTCTAGTTATATGTCAACGCACTCACACAATAACAATATATTTGTACATTACTACATAAGTAGATTAGAGAGATGATGGATGGATGGACGGATGAGGACGGATGGATAGATGGCCAGTGTGTGAATGTTGAATGTTGGAAAGCAGCAAACTCAATTTTTGGTTCTGATATGTTCACTGTACGTAAAAAGATCGGATTGATTCACATTATGGAAGGCAAACTGACCACAAAACTGAGCTGGTTCTTAAGTTCAGGACTTGAATTTTTCTAGCGCAGAGGCATTTCCATCTCTGGCCACAGCCTAAGAACAGCATTTCTAATTTCCAGTCAGTGTTGTTTCAGCTGGCACCTGCTAACCACTTTTTTTGGCAAGCAAACCATTCGAAACGAAGAAATGGAAACTCTGCTAAATTGTGGTTATTGATGGTTATCAGTTATCAATCTGTTGCAAATTTATACAAATTGAAGATAATTGAAGTGGGTTGTTCTATGTTTTCCCATGGTCATGTTGGTCCTGTTGGTCTACCAGTGGGAAAGTGCTGGTGTCGAGGGTGGCTCCGGCTCCAGTGGCTCTCAAGCAGCTGTGCCTCAGCAGCACTGTCACATGGTAAAGCTTGGTAGAGCAAGTTGCTGGTCAAAGAGAGTGGATGCTTATATAAATTAATTATCTTACCATTCTTTTAAGACATAAATAAGCGTAACAAAAAAATAAAGGCTATAGGTCCATAACGCAAAAAAGAACATGTTGTGGTAGGAGACAGAAGCGTCTCTTTTTTGGGCCGGTTGATTCATGTGGTAGCTCTACACTTTGAGTCCACGGTTTCCATGTTGTTTTGAAGACTTCTAAAACCTGTCCAACCATCGAGAGACGCTGCTGTCAAGGCAGCACAGGCCCCATCTTGGGGAGCTCGAAGTGCAGGGCTGCAAGTTCAGGACCCAGCACGTCCCTGCACTGAAGTACTTCAAGGATCTTCAAGATTCAAGGGATGAATAAGCACAATTCGGTAAAAGATTCATGGTCGCAAAATCATGCAAAATCCCTGAACTACAAGTTTCTCTATTTGCACTATGCAACCATGGCTGCAAATACACGATGTTTGTGTACAATCAACTGAATATGGAATGGCCAAGAGCAGGTGATGACACCATATGCACCGTTTCGGTTCGCACATCTATGTTGGAGAGATGAGTCTTTCTTGGTCGTTCTTGTAGAATTCAACCCCATTCAGTATCCAGAGAACTTTGTCGAGTGTTCATGCAACCATTTTGTAACCTCCCGCACCATGGAAGCTTTGCATCTTTCAGAGATTTCCCAATGCTGAGGCAGCCAAGGCGAATAGCGCAAAAGAGGCAAAGGAGGCCAAGGCTGTTGCTGCAGCCAAAGAGGCGGAACGCTCAGATTTGGGACTTTCTTATCACTTGCAGCACTTGCTTTGTCATATTCATGAGTAGAATGGACCCTTAGTTCCAACGCATTTTTGCCATGTCTTGCTGCGCTGCTTCCTTGTTGTGATTGTGTCGTTGTTGTTCTGTGCGGCGCTCTGAAGGCTGCTGAAGCGATCGCCGAGGCACATTTGCTCATGAACCATCCAAACAGATAGAACGCAGATACCTGATATACACTTATATTTGCAGCGATAATATTGTTTACTATTGTTTTGTCAAGTACTGTATGCAAAATTTTGCATTTTGCTGCATTTCTATTCTTGAGTGTAAAGACAATCTGCTAGCATCCTCGAATGGCATGGTTCAAATGGCCTCGTGTTCTTGTTCAACTCCATGATTTCGCAAAGCCTTCAGACCAGACCAAGAGCCCGAGGCTAAAGCTTCACGAGCGAGCGCAGCAGTTGTTGGAAAGAAGGTCAGACATGTTGTATCATGTTGTAGACCAGGCTGTTTTCGAATGTTTGAATTTCAAAAATTGAAGGCCAACGGCCACATTTCCATTGCAATTTGGCAGGTAGAAGCAGAACTTGTCAGGGTCTCATGAAGCTTTTGGACTTGCGCAAGTTGGTTTCCTGTTTACAAAACAGGCTAAACTGCATGTTTATTTATGGTCCAGCATGGTCGGCTGGTACCACTCAACGAATCCTGCATGAAGCACGGAGCAGGTAGGACTTGTGTAAATATTTGACCACGCATCCCAAGTTTCAGATTACTGAGGCCAATGATGCAAACAATTTTCCCGAGGCATTGCCGGGTTTTGCCATGTTTTACAGTATTTTATTCTGAAAACTTCATCTTGGACCTGAATGTTGGATGATTTTCCTTGACGAAATGTGTTTTGCCAGCTCCCAAGCAACAAGAGCTCAGCTTCCAAGGCCGGTGGAGTGAGAGTTCAGATCATTTCAGCTGTATTTAAGCAGAGCTGATCGAATAGACCTATGATGACCTACGTCACACTGTCAAACAGCCAACTCTCTACCCTGAACTCTTCTTTTTCACTGAGACGGCATTGTTCTGCATCAGGATGCGCAGCCAAAGAAAGCATCAAAGGCAACCCTTTCAATGTGAGTTCAGTAACTATATATAGCCTACTATATAGCCTACTATAATATGTATTCAGCGCTCTTCTTGAGAGAGATCAGGCGCAAATTCCATTGGTTGCATGAAGGCATGCACAAACCTTGACAGGCGGCAGCTAAGCCCACTCCGAAGGCTGTAGTAGACTCAGTTTCAATCCGATTTTTTTCCAGTTTTTTAAATCAAATTGCTCCAGAGATCTCCACACTCTGTCTCCATTGGTCCGAAGCGAACTGAGGCAGAAAAGCCGACCGGGACCAGTTCGAAGGCGCCCAAGGAGGCGCTGAAGGCGCGGCAGATCCGGCGGATCCCAGGAAACATCAGTTTTTGAGGCCATCAGGATCCAAAAGGCTATAAAAGGCTGATGAACTCTGTGCCGCGTTTCATATCTTCAATTTGGGTCCACATCCGGATGAATTTCTTGGAGCTTGAAAGCCCTGCACAGTCATACTGGTCATACTGCACGGCACTGTAGAGATATTAGAGATGTTTTGTGTGCGAGGCAACTCCCAACTTTCAATGCTTAAATTCACGAAGAAACAATTCTAAGCGAAACTTCGGAGATTGCAGCGTTATCTCAACACAACTGTTTGAAAAACTTCCATGGTTCAATCACTGAAACCGAGTCGAACCATTGCTTTACCCAGGCTGCAGTGGCTGAGACAATGCCCATCGATTTGGATCAGGAGATTCTGCACAATATGAGTTCGGCTTCAAGATCCGCATTCATGGGGAACATGATATCAACATATATACTGTATCAACTACATTCAAATACGAGGTATGTCCACACCCACGGACCTCAAAGAAATTGGGGCACATATCTTGGAACGAAAGGCAATCAAGTTATGTATGTTATGTCAAATTCAGGTACTGAATTTTGGGAGAACGTGCTGAACACTTGCGACCTATTCATGACTGGCGTTGATTAGGAAGATGGTGGTGGAACCCGAGTGGAACCCAGTTGACAAACTGCGAGTTGCAGGACCTTGTCCTGCTAAAGAAGAGCGAGGGGCCTCAATGGTTACCCCCAAATACCCCCAATACTCGTACGGAAGAGGAAGGGGAAAGGGCTTGTTTGCTCTCTTTTAGTACAGTCATCAAGATATTCTAATTAGTTAATTAATTAATTAATTACTCGCATATTTATGCATATTTCCAATATTTTCAAATTAGTAGATTTGTTGCAGCGGTCAGACACTTGCCAAGGCGACGACGAAGAACACACCCAAGCGAAGGAGGTGGAACCACATCACACACGTTCAGAATAAAAGAGGCGGATGATTCCCAGGTCGCGGATGATGATACTGATAAGCCTCAAAATACTGGGTGGTATATAGTAATCATTAATAATCCCTACAGTGCTCAAATTGTGTGCATGTTTGGGTCTTCGCCAGGGAAGTCAGAAGAAGAAAAAGGGTCAGCAGAACAAGAAGAATGTCATTCCTGCTTCGGAATGGTTTCAGGGCTGACCAGTGTATCGTGAAGATGCTTGGCGCACCCTCGAAGCGTGTGGCAGACAAACAAATCCTTTTGACAGACAGGTGTTCTTTCACATACGGCGTGTATGTGGCGTGTTTGGGGAACGTGTTCGTGAAGCAGCTAGCAGCCATCGAGATGCATCGAGAGTGCTCGAAGCCTTTGGACTAGGACCTCGTTTTGCCATTGGCAAAGATGCAAAATGATGCGCGTTTTGGGAAGGACCAGTAGTCGTGTCAATCAATTTGAGTCAATGCAGCATGTGAGCAGCATGTGTATTTTTTCAACAAGCATCAATAAAGTTGAGCGGATTTGCATCTTACATCCTTTAAGATGTGTGCCATCAGCAGCCAGATCTCAAGCAATGAGAAAAAACCCCGGTACCTTCCTGGCAAAGCCCGCCAAGCTTGTCACCGCTATCCATGGTTTTCTTTCAAGTTCTTGGTTGACACGTCCTCCCCATCAGACAACTTGCTTTACCATTGTTGGATGCTTTGCAGGTAATTACTAAAGCTGTGAACAGCTAAATTTACAATTCACAGTCGCAACTCAATGCAACATATGATTCATATGATTCAAAGTGAAGGATTTAGTTTCATGATTGTTTCTTCAAAGCATAATCCTTATCAGAAAGGATCAGAAAGGATCAATTCATATTGGCACCACATTGGCATCGTTGTTCCGATTGTTCCGAGCCTGCGACTTCGATGGCGTTTCTGTCGCTGGGCAACCCTCGAAGCCAAACCCACAGTGACAGTTTACCGAACAAGTCTGGAAGGTTTGTGTGGAATTCTGTTCGTAACAAGAGTGACAGGATGTGACAGGATGTGACAGGATGTGACAGGGTGGCTTTCTGGAGGGACTCAAACCCCAAGGAGAACGTCAGAGACTAAAGCGCTCTCGTTTGCCATCTCTTTTGTAGTCAGTTAGTTCGACGTGATCTTGAATGCATGCTGCATGCTTCAGTTGCTGGCCCCAGCCGATCAAGCAAATTTGATCAACTGTCAAGTGACTCAACACACACACAGAGCAGCACATGATCAACAGCAGATCCGCCATAAACACCGTGTGTCTTTGTGGGTGCTACCTGTAGCATATTTTTTTGTGTGGTGTGTGGCCATGCTTGGAGGTTATCGTGCTCACGCGTTGCAGCCCCAAGTACAAGCCATGCTTCGAGAAGCGTTCGGGCTCGACAATCACGACCGTCCAGCCACATCTACTCGCCAGGAGAGGGATCAAACATGAAAAATCATGAAAATACGACACTGAAAGAAAGTATCGCTGCCAGCGTGCATTACATTCTCGTTTCCATTGTATGCTGTAGACTGTTAGTCAGTGCAACGGAACGATGGGTCTTCTCTCGCATCAGTCTTGTGAGTCTTTAATGAATAACATAGTTTTCTTCCTGGCCCGTTCCGCGGCAGGCCAGTGTTGGTAGGAGGACAATCAGCGGCAATTGTTGGCTGACTGGCTTGATACTGACAGCTGTCCTCGGGATTGGCATCATAGTTGGGTCTATGAGAACACTGGCAGTTCCATGGCTTTCAAGGAGGCGATGAAAAAAATGTCAAGACTAAGACATGATTGTATTTCACAGGAAAATATAGGAAGTGATCCACCGCAAAAGCCACAGATAATCAGATAGCCACAGAATGTGCTTGCTAATTTGATGATGGACGCATTGAGGGATCCTTACTCTGATGAATACAAAGATGAACAAAGGCTAAGCCAACCCCTTTTGTTTTCGTTCTTTCGACTCAGAGATCCAGAGGGGCTTTGAAGGATGTCTGGATACGGGCGGATGTCTGCCACATTTCAAAGAAAGTTTGGTCACTGTACTCTTTTGACAGAACAAGACAACTAGTTGTTGAAGCAAAACGAAGCACTGGACTGGCAAGACTTTGAAGCTTTGATTCTTAGGTTGCTCGCTCGCCCAGCACCCTGGCATGCAGAGAGATTCCAAAAAGGCATACTATACAAAGGAAAACAAGCATATCAAAGCATATATTTTTTTAATGCCTGACACTTCTGTTCATGTCGCACTGAATAGACACGTCGACGGGAATGTGCTATGCTGCTATGCCAAGGTGAATCCGGCTCACTTTCGATGTGTTCATCATCCCAAACAATTGACAGCATCTTGCCCAGCACCGCCATTTATGCTCCTGGTCAGCACTTCGCGTACAAGTTGATCGATGAGAATGGTGCGGCGGTAGAGATGATCTTTGAAGCTCTTCATGACCATCCTTGGGTCAAAGCAACGACAACGTTGCACCAGGGCTTTGGTATGCTGACCAATCATGCCACGGCCACACGGCTCGGAGTCAGCTTTCGCTCTGCCGAAAACCAAGAACCAGTCAAGCTTCCGTATTTTGCAATGTCTTTCGTTCAACTGGTGGATACAAGTTTTCACAGTCACAAGAACATCAAAATTGTGGGCAACTGGACTGATGCAGTCGTTGCACAAGGCACCACAGTCTTGGTTCACCACCAGGATGACACCGGCAACTGGATCTCCTTCCAAGCAAGCAAGACGGATGTTCACCAACAGGCTCCAAGTAGCCCTTCGCTTCTCACCATGGATCAGTTCAAGGAAGCAGCCACTCTGCGCTTCGTGGAGGTTGAATCATTTCAGATTCACATAGACGTTGGAGTGCACGAAATGCATGGTTTCCTTTTCTCAACGACGGCAGCAGTGCTGTGTGCTGAGGTCCCCCATGCAGATAATCCTCCGGTGAAATTTGTCACCAACCCACGTGTCTTTGAATTGACAGTGAAGGAGACTGACAACACACACATTGTCAAAGCAAAAAACAGCTCCCTCTTTCAGCTCTGGTACGTCAGAGAAGGAGACAATGTCCATGTTGGAGATGCGCTGTTCCAAGTGACCTCAATGGACGGCCTTCAAGATGTGAAATCCGATGTTGCTGGCACAGTCAAACATTTGCAAGCACTGCTCCCCGGTGGTTTTGTGGACGCTGGAGCACCCATCATCGTTATTGACACAAGTGGCACTGATTGGGTGTTCATCGCATCAGTTAGTGTGGCAGCAATTGCAGTCATTGGGGTGGTCATTTGTATCTGGCGGTGTTGTTGCAACAAGTCTCCAGATCCTGATCCAGACGATCCAGACGATCCAGAGAAACCGGAATCCATCCCGTATACCATTCTGGAGTTCGAGACCCCCAGCGGCTGGAAGCAGGTTGCAGAGTGGAAGCATCAACCATTGGGACTTGGATTCTATGAAGAAACCAGCCCACCACAGGTGGCTTATGTCGGAAAGGATGCGATCCATTTGGGTGTGAAGAAGGGCGATCATTTGGTTTCTGTCGGCGACCCGCACTTAGTTGATTGCTAGCGTGTCAATGCGTGTCAGCTTGTGGGTTCCAGGTTGTCCCACTTTGCAGGTGAGGTTGGGAAGGTCCAGCGCAGCGTAACACAGCCACCATGGATTTCTTGCAGGTAGGTTTGACATGTTTTGAGTTTTGACAGTTGCCCCAATCTACCCCAAACATCTTGTCACTATTTGTCACTTGTAACTCAAGAGCAACGGTAATTACAACATGCTGCTAAAGTTTGACTTTGTTCCTGGGCATCCTGGGATTTCAGCCATTTCTCCATCCTGAACTGAAGCCAATTTTGTCATATTTTGTCAACGAGCCAGATATATCAAGTACATTGAGATAATATCCTCACAATCATTTCTCAGGATCCAAATACTGGAATGATCAAGACAGAAGGGAAGGCTTTCGACAGTATTTGGCGCGAGATGAAGACGCGAGCAGACCGTCTTCCTTTGGTACCTCGCTGCTTGGATTTGCATCAGTCAACTTCTTTGTTTGCCCTGAAATGTTGCCTATCAACGTCTATCAACGCCGTTTAGGAACTTCTGGCCGCTGGCCCAACACAAACTTCAAACCAATCGGCTTGAGGAGGTTTAGGCCAAAGATTCGGCCTTAGATATGGATCGAAAACCTGGTTTTAAGCACATCCCGTGAAAACCTATAAACCGCCGTGGTCAACAAGAGCCGTTGTTGAACCGAATTCAAATCCAGTGTTGATGCTAAAAGGATCCACAAAAAGGCCGTTTTTTTCCCACCTGCCAGGCGAGGGTTGTTGGATTTTATCAGAGTTGTTCTCCTCCTCCTCCTCCTCCTCGGCTAGCTGTCCTCCTCCTCCTCCTCGTCCTCCTCCTCCTCTAGTTTCTCCTCGACCATGTCTGCATCAACTTCCACCTCCACTTCCGCCTTGCCAACTCTTCGCCAAGCTCTTTGCCAACTTCCCAGCTCAGTGTGCACCGCTGGACCTCAACCGGGACCTGCCCAGCTCAGTGTGCACCGCTGGACCTCAACCGGGGACCTTCCCAGCTCAGTGTGCACCGCTGGACCTCAACCGGGACCTGCCCAGCTCAGTGTGCACCGCTGGACCTCAACCGGGGACCTGCCCAGCTCAGTGTGCACCGCTGGACCTCAACCCGGGACCTGCCCAGCTCAGTGTGCACCGCTGGACCTCAACCGGGGACCTGCCCAGCTCAGTGTGCACCGCTGGACCTCAACCTGGGACCTGCCCAGCTCAGTGTGCACCGCTGGACCTCAACGGCCAGATAGAATGCCAGAAGATATGCCAGATAGAATGTCAGATAGAATGCCAGAAGATATGCCAGATAAAATGCCATGAGATATGCCAGAAGATATGCCAGATAGAATGCCAGAAGGATGCCAGATAGATATGCCAGATAAAATGTCAGATAGAATGCCACAAGATTTGCCAGATAGAAACGCCAGAAGATTTGCCAGAAGATATGCCAATAGAATGCCAGAAGATATGCAGAACATATGCCAGATAGAATGCCAGAAGATATGCCAGATAGAATGTCAGAAGATATGTCAGAATATATGCCAGAAGATATGCCAGATAGAATGCCAGAAGGTATGCCAGAAGATATGTCAGATAGAATGCCGGATAGAATGCCAGAAGATATGCCAGAACATATGCCAGATAGAATGCCAGAAGATTTGCCAGAAGATATGCCAAATAGAATGCCAGATAGAATGCCAGAAGATATGTCAGATAGAATGCCAGAAGATTTGCCAGTAAGAAAATGTATAAATGTCATGGTGGGGATCACACGAAGTAAAGTAATTTTTAAATGGTTTTTTGATGAATCTCCTTTTTTTCCAAGATTTTGGTATGCTCTCAAGCCCCATCACAGACATGCAGGCTTGCTGCTACGATTTGAGAAGGCAGGTCTGCAGCAGGATTTTGAGTGGCGGACGAAGCCCTTAGGGCTTGTTTTCTCAGATTCCCTGCCTATGACCGTGACTGACGTGCACGAGGAAGCAGAGCATATGGGTGTGCAAGTCGGTGATGTTTTGACAGGCTACGGTGCAGATGGAACCTTAGTTGCTGGCGACATGGGCCACAGAGTGACAGTGCCATCCAAACTTGGATGATAATCCTGGTCATATAATCAGACGTTAAGATCATCAAAAACGTTTTGTCATGTTTTGTCTATATGATCTTTACAGAATGCAGTATGATTTTGTTGTCTTTCATGCAGTTCTATTATGTTCTATTACCCCCAAAGATTTCTCTTGTGCTAAATCGACCCCTGAGCTGATAAAAACTAAGGAGTCCCACCTTCTCAAGAGTGTGGAGGGCAAATCTGCAGAGGAAATTTGGAAGGCGATCACTCATCGGATGGCCGGTTTTCCCGTAGCGCCTAGCTTCTCGGCTCTTGACGTTGCACAAGTTGAAGAGTTGAGTTCCATTTGTTGGTTTAGAGTGCTACCCGAGTGCTAGCGCCGAGCGGTTCTTTAAGACCCACCAACTGCACTAATTTGATCAGAAAACACGAAACTCGCACAAATCAGAATCTACACAAATGCAATATAAGGGGGTCATCCCAGATGTTCCTGTGCCAATCCTGACAGCATTAAACATATTAAAATTGACAAAAGCTGCTGGCGATCTTGACGGCTTCCAAGAGACCACCATAGAGAAATGCATTCTACATCACTAGTACAGAGTCTGTAGTAATCTATAGATATCTATACGTAGCGTAGATGTAATTGTAGATTACATCTGGTTCATTTGGTTCACCAGAGCCTTAAATGCCCTCACAGATCCTCACTGTCCATGGTCAGAATGTCAGAGCACCATGTTGGAATGATAATATTCCGTCCACTTTTTTTCTTATCTCATTCCAAGCTTTATTACATAATTATCATAATTTATTTCTGGGATGGCTGAGTGCTGCGGCTTGCGAGCAATGTTGAGGCCTGGTAATGGTGTTTGAGCTCCCGGACAAGTCCACGAAGGAATTCTACTGGCGAGCTCGACCACTGGGAATTGAAATTGGAACATCTCTCCCCATTGCTGTTGAAAAGGTGACAAGTGAACGCTCCAAGAGCCAGGGCATCAAAGTTGGTTATATTTTAAAAAGCTTTGGTGACAACTGGCGAAAACTAGAGGTTGCTGATGGCAAAGACGCCTCTATGATCATTGCAGACTTGGAGAGGTTTGTTGACAAGTTGCCACATGCTAGCAGATAGCTCTTGCGCACAGACAGCAGAGATGAATAGAGAATATGTACACTTGTCGAGACTGGATAAGTCTTGCATTCTCCTAGCAGAAATCCATCTGGCCTCTCAGCAGTGCTGACAAGAGTAGCTCATCCATGCTGATCCGTCCAGCGTGCTTTTTTGCCAGCCAAAGAATATGTAGCCAGAGCATACCAGAGACTTCCTTCATGAGAGTCTGAGAGGCTGGACTTTGCGAAAAATGTCACACTTGATTGGCAAACTGCAAAGCAGTGAGCTGAGCACACTTGTCCTACGTTTTCCTGGCTTGTGAGCTAGGCCTCCCTTGGCAAACTACACGAAACCGACGAGCTCAACCAACTTTCTGTCAGTAAATCTTATGATGTCGTCATTTCATCTTATATTTTACTTGTGCTGCAATATTGAGTCAGGGGGCTCCGTCCCAACGAGAAGACAGCGAGATATTCCGGTGTGTAATTTCGTGGCGCCTTTGCCTGAATACCAGGCCATACTCGTAGAAGCCAAGATGAGCGGCCCACAACCAGGGTGAAAAGTCATGGGATGTTGAGGCACTTTGGGACTTTGACCCTGCTATATCCAATCTACATCCATCATCATCCATCTATATCCTGCTATTTTGTTCCGTTGAATCTTTCAATATCCATGGCAAGAGACCTGTCAGACGTTGCTGTCAGGTTCTACCCCACCTCGACGACCTGCACGAACTGCCGCCGAGGCCGGAGAGATCCGGAGAGATCCGGAGAGCGGTTGCAGATCAGTGAGCCCTGTCGTCGATTCTCCCTTGTGGGATGCGCACTGAAAGTGGCGCCATGATGCAGAAAATATTGGATTTATATGGATCTATATGAATCTATTGGATTTTCGGACAGAAAAAATTAGAATCAAAGCTGGCAGAGCACCTGTGCGTACAGATTGAAGTTTCTCTGCTACGAAGGCATCATCGCCCTCGAAATGGGGGGAGGTGTTCTGCTCAGCATCCACGACTCTGTTGGTATTTTTTTGCATACGCAGCAAAGACATGCGAAGACAGCGCCGATAAAATCTGCTTTCGTGTGCGTGACTAAAGTAGACCGATATACTGGACTTCACTGCAGGTGGTGTCGTCATTGCCAGTTGTGCGACTTTCAGAGCACAGCTCAGTAGCAGGAAGTCGGACACTCAAGGAGACTCCGTACCGCTGTGGCATGCATGCTCCGCTCCAGTCGAAATTTTCTCAGCATCAGTTCAGACCTGGTTAGCCATGTTGGACTGTTGCACTGTACGTATCGTCATACATACATACCCTACCAGTAGTCAGATGCAGTCAGTAGTCAGATTGCTTTATGTTGCAATGTCATGCAATGTCAATGATTTATTCTCAAACTTGAGGTCCGAGGCGCGGCAAGGATTTGGGACTTTCACCACCAGTAGCAGTGTCAGCCTTGGCATTTCCGAAGGTCCGGGTATCTCGGTATCTCAGCTCTGAAAGTCCACTCAGGTTATCAGCGAACCTGTGGCATGGCCCTCACATTTCTGCTGTGACACGCTGCTAATATCTGCTAAGGAATCTTTCGTGTCACAGAAGCTTGAGACTGAATGATTCATGATGATTCATTCACCTTTACTCTTGTAGAACCAACCAGTATTTGTATGTATTTGTACAATTTTGTACATGTCGTGGTAATTTGTGCAGGGCTAGACATTGAGTTGCATGCATCAGACTCATCGCACTGCTCCATGTTTGGTCCTACCGCTATTTGCTCAAAGCGTCTCAAAGCACTGTAGCAAGAAATGAACTTCTATGACATTCTATGATAATATTGATAATATATATATATAATTATTGATATTGTATACTTATTCCACCTTATTCCAATCTAAGATACTTAAGTGCCGTTGGCACATGTCGGTTTGCAAAGAACAACGTCATGAAATGGACCATGTGATCCCAAGGCGGTGCCAAGTACACCTGTGGCACCAACACTTTGGAGAAGCATCCTCAGAAGTGTTTGTCACATCTTGTCAGCTAAAATTCTGGTGACTTCTGTACAGTGGCAGGTAGCAACTTCTGGGTAGTTATGCGGTTATGCAATTGTTTAAATATTTCCAGTGGCAAAGGCTCCGAACCAAAGCTGCGACCAAAGGCAATGGACTCATAAATGGTTTGCTGACCGATGATTTATATTATGTAGATATATTATAGATATAGGTTATTAAGTCAGACTGACAATGTTCACCTAGCCCTGGGCTAGGCGTCACCAGTTCAACAAGCTCCAGCTTCATCGGGCTTCTGGAAGACACACGAGCAGTGCCACCACGGTTGAAATGCACAGCGTCTACTGATAAATTGCAATCCTGCCAGACATTGCCAGCCTCTGTTTTGATTACTAGGGATCTGAGCCAGAATGGTGGGCAGGTACGCTCTTCAGAGGTCTCGGGAGTCTGGAATCAAAGCATATCCGACATCTCTATTTGAGCCACAGCAGAGGAAAGCTGCAGATGTCAGATGTCAGATTTTTTGGTGGATGCTGATGGGTTCTACTGGTGGAATCTCAAGATGACCAGACACGACACGTTGCAGGATTGAGCGGCCGGAGTTGGCCGGCAGATCTGCACTAGAGGCCTTTTTCATCCTTTTTCCTGGGATATCAATTTCTATTCTCCAGCTTGCCTCCATCAGAATTCTAGATTTGCTGTGATTTGCCATGATTTCCTTAATATGTGTTTCATCAAAGTTGTTCTGATGTCAGAGCATGGACAGGGCCGCCATGATCCAGCAGAACAGAGGCGTCAGCAAGAGCCGCTAGAACCGCTAGAAGCTCAGCCGTTGCCCAGGACACCATTCACGCCATCGGCCAGGTTTGAAAATAGAAACCTGGATGAGACCGCCTGTGCATGACAAGAACCTGCAATTCATGATTCCATGATTGATGGATTAAATATTATTTGTTCATGCATTTTAATTCTTGAGAATCTCTCACAGTCTTGGTTTCCTCCCTTGACTGAAGCAAGTGGCAATAGTGCAAGCCTTCGCTGCTCACGGCCCGCTGTTTCGCAAAGGTCAGCACTGCTTGCTTCATACCTCCCCACAGCCAAAACCAGTGAGCAGCGGACTTAACTTGTGAGTCTTCACCAGCATAGTTTGAGGCAGATCGTTTAATATGTTTAGTGGATTTGATTTTAGATGTCATGAGCCTCAAGCCTCCAAGCTCGTCGTTGTTGTGTCAGGTTCTCACCGGCCGTGCCAAAGGCAGCGGCAGGCCCTCATTCTTCACGTGTTATATGTTGATATAATTATTTATAATATATATAATATATTATAATATAATAATATATGCAATTTAACAATATATATATATACACATTAATCTAATATATATAATTATACAATATTATATATCTATGATGATTTTTTGTAAAGTTATATCTTGAGTTTTCCGAGATGTTGATTTAGTTCCGAGTTGCCATGGAGCAGAGCACAGGTGTCGATCCACCTTCTCCAAGCCCCTTGTTTCCACAGGCTGAAGCTACATGATGCTGCAAGATGTTGCAAACTCCTTGACATCTGAAAAGTCTTGGTTCGAAACACAGTCCAGGAACCATCTCTAGATCTTAAGGAAGTCTGAGCCTCAGCATGACTGAAAAGCTGTCTCTTGAGTGCAGAAGTATTGTGCTGTGAAATCAAGGACGCCTACCAACTTCTTCTGCAACAACTCACCAAAAGACTTGCTGAAAGTGGGCCTCCGCTGGACCGAATTTGAAGCGAAGTCGGCCCTGTCCAGAATCCACCACAATCCAAGCACAGGATTTCACATGATTTCACCAGATTTAAACATCCAGTGTGGATAAAAGTCATGAAGTCTTGAGGACTATTTGGCAGGCCAAAGCTCTGCACTTGCGAACCAGCAGTTGGCATATGCCGCACAGCTCCAAGATGTGAGAGTCTCCGAAATTTGTGCATCGATCACAAGCATGGCATCCTTAATCGTAGCATTATACGAAGTATCAGTTCGTAGATATGCTAAAACAGGTATGCATAGATGTACATTCATATAGTATAAACGCGCGTATATATACCTGGAACCCTAAACGTCAACATGTTTCAATTATACCCCGTAATACTAGCAATGACATGTTTTTATAGTCGAATTTCCAACTTCGCTTGATCTTATCCGCAATGACAGGAAAAACCCATCAATTATTGATAACCTAAGATTATATATTATATATACACATACATTAAAATACATGAAGATGCAGAACATATCTTCAAACCAGGTGAGGTGAGGCTTCGACGGTGCGCACCCAAGGCCTGGCATCAAGCTGCTGCCTCTGCTGCACAGGGACCCAGCCAGGCTAGGTCCGACATGGTGGAGCATCTTTTACTGGAAATCAGAAGGGTTGACTTCACGATGATTTCAAATCTAAGATGGTTTCAGATGATTATAGATGTGTTCAGGAGATTCAAGATGTGTTCAGATGATTCAAGATGTGTTCAGAAGATTCAAGATGTGTTCAGATGATTCAAGATGTGTTCAGAAGATTCAAGATGTGTTCAGATGATTCAAGATGTGGTCAGATGATTCAAGATGTGTCCAGATGATTCAAGATGTGTTCAGATGATTCTAGATGTGTTCAGATGATTCAAGATGTGTTCAGATGATTCAAGATGTGTTCAGATGATTCAAGATGTGTTCAGATGATTCTAGATGTGTTCAGATGATTCTAGATGCGTTCAGATGATTCAATTTGTGTTCAGATGATTCAAGATGTGTTCAGATGATTCAAGATGTGTTCAGATGAATCAAGATGTGTTCAGATGATTCTAGATGTGTTCAGATGATTCAAGATGTGTTCAGATGATTCAATTTGTGATCAGATGATTCAAGATGTGTTCAGATGATTCAAGATGTGTTCAGATGATTCAAGATGTGTTCAGATGATTCTAGATGTGTTCAGATGATTCTAGTTGTTTTCAGGTGATTCAAGATGTGTTCAGATGATTCAAGATGTGTTTCAGATGATTCTAGATGTGTTCAGATGATTCAAGATGTGTTCAGATGATTCTAGATGTGTTCAGAAGATTCTAGATGTGTCCAGATGATTCAAGATGTGTTCAGATGATTCAAGATGTGTTCAGATGATTCAAGATGTGTTCAGATGATTC